ATTTTTTTTAATGGGCTCTAGCATTTTAACAAGAGGGCTTCTTGAAGAAAAACACTGAGAACTGTGTTCACCTTATGCTCGTTAATATTGCACCCTCACTACTGGAATGGAAGAACAAACTGGCAGCTCCATCAGTTACTAACAGGGATGCATGGGAGAAAACTGAGCTACAAAGGGGGAAAGAACCATGAGAAGAGAAGCAGTCCATGCTTCAGCACTTCAGTTCACCTTCTCCCAAGGCAGTGCATGAATAGCCCTAGGAGCATGTTTTAAAAATCCCTCACTTTTCAGGATCTGGTCTTTTGGGACCAGGACTTAATTTCTCATGAGTAGCTTTTTCTTCTGTGGCAACATCGAATTGGGTTGGGCTAGCCAGCAGTGCCTGCTCTGCTCTGCTCTGTTGGGTGCTCATACGACTGGGATGCAAACTCTTGTCCTTCAGAGCCTGCACATTGGATCTTTGCCTTTCTTTTCTTCCACTTCTACCGTTTCTGCTACAGGCAGGTCTCAGGCTTTCTGCATGCTAATGGAGATGATGGGGAGGATCACCACCACTCAGTGACCTAGTATTGCCAAGGGAGGATGCCAGCCTTTTGCACGGTCATACATTACAACGTACAAATGGATGCTCCAGCACTGGAGGTGTTCAAACTCAGGCTGGATGGGACTTTGGCCAACCTGATCTTCCAAAAGAAATCCCCACCCATAGCAGGGGCTTGAACTAGATGATGTGTCCCTTCAATCCAAACAATCCTACGATAAGCAGGACCTTAAAGCTCTGCCTTCCACAGTCTTCCATCTCCTCTATTTTAAGAGGGACATGGAGAGTGTACATTCCTAGCAGAAGTAAAGGCTCTCCTCCCACCCTGCATCTCCTCACCTGTCTGTGGGGACCTTGCTCAGGCCCACCATTGGGCGAAGTGGGCCTGCTCTGATCAGCAGACTTGGGCTGGGATCGGTCCCGGCTGCCATAGCGATCACAGGAGTAGAAGCGCTGCTTTTCTGAAGAGGAGGAAGAGTGCTGCTTCCTCTCTTGGGACCGTCCACGCTCCTGCTTCTTGTCCTTGGAAGAAGATTCACCAGACTGGGCCACTGAAAGAATATTAATTGGCGCTCACCAACGTGAGAAGAACACTGAAATGCGGAGCAGGGACCCCAGATGACACATAAAGGCTGCTATGGACTAACCCTCGTTAAAACACAAAGCTCTTACCAGCTTCCCCATCGGCCAGCTGATGTGTGGTCCTGTCCAAGGACTTCTGCTTCTTCTCTTTCCGCCGGTGGCAGCGGTGGTGGTGGTGGTGATGCACCTGGTCCGTGGGCACGCGTTCCAGGGAGTACTCATAGAGGTGCATGGGATGTGGACGCTGCGGGGTCAGCGTGGAGATAGAGCGCTTCATGGGGCTCGTGTCCGGGATGGGCTGCGGGGCACAGGGCACACGGAGCAGGGTCAGGGGACGAGCACCTCACCTTGCTCAGCTGCTCGTTTCTCAGCACCGGGTCAGTTTTATAGAGGTAGACAGGGGCAAGGAGGGGCAGGAGAAAAATAGTTCATTGGCTCTAATTGGAACGGGCAGAAGAACTTGGAACGGTGGACTTAGCGGTAAGTTCGAGGAGCAAATGAGATCTCCATTTGCTGAAATGGGCTTTACTTTCAGTTTTGTGCCAATCCACAGGGCGCAGAGCAGGGATGCAGCATGTTACACCACACACAGCCTCATGGGAGTCAACAGGAGATGAGCAGGGGCACAGGGCAGCACAGTAGCCAAGCGTCTCACAAAGGTTATTCTCCAAGACCAGTTCCACCCAAAGCTGCTTCAGGGCCTGGGATCATCCCAAAGCAACTCCAAAGAGGGAAAGCATGAAAGCATTTCTGGGCATCGCATGGAGAGGGAGAAAAATCAAAAATAAAAAAAAAAAAATGGGCAAGGTACAGGCTAAGCCACCAAAGAGCTACAGCTGTCTTCCTGCACCTGAAAACCACTTCCATCAAACTGTTAAACCTCCCCTCTTGTCCTGCTTGTCCCAGCCACAAGGGCATCAAGAGCAATGATAGGACATCATGTATACTCTGCAATTTTACCAGCATATCTCCAGAAATAAGCACTCAGGGTTGCTACTGCAATTTTCAAACCATCTTGGCTTGACGGCCAAGCACAAGAGCTCTGCACAGCAATCCAGCCTCCCACAGGCACTGCTGGGTGCTGTCTCTACACCAGTGAAAGCTCCAGCCTCTGCTCTCCTCCCTTTGGGTTCAAACCTCACAATGATGCTCTGTAGAACACAAGGTAAATGGGCTGCAAGACAAATGCTCTCACATCCTTTTATCTTCCTGTTGAGGTGTAAAACTCAGAAAACAAGGAAAATCCCTGTGTTTCCTTCTCTATCACTCTACTGGTCTCCAGCTGCTTTGCAGAGTGCTCTCAGGTGGATACAGGGCTTCCATCCACATTCTGCTGGCTTCCTGAGGTCTGACATCACATCTAGGCTTCTTGCTAGAGGGAAGCCATGCAGCAGAATGGGGAGGGAGCTCAGGATGTCCTTTGGTTTGAGGCTTGTTTGGGTTCTCAATCCAACAGGTGCCCCAAATGACAATGCCAACAGAACATTTACTTTGCTCATGGTAACCTTTCCAGTGAGCCCTGCATTATTTTTACCATCTATACTCTTCTGTCTGCTTTGCCCGAATTTCAGATCTCTGCTTCCCCGTGATATTTACATAAAGCAGAGCTGTTTGGATTGCAGCCCCAGTTGGTATTTTGGAGAAGAAGAGCTTCTGTTCCTCCCAGCGTGCCACTGTGCATGCAGAGGTGCAATCTCAGCTGAATTTTTAGTTTCTGCTCTCTCTTTCAAGTTACTGAAGTGTTGACTTTTCCCATCACAGTGCTGTGTTAGAACTGGAAAGCTTGTCATGGACACGAGGAAGTATAATACGGTTGGGCAGCTGAGGTGGGGACACAGCATCACACTGCTGTTTGCCCAGCAGTGCACAGCTACAGGAGCAAGGCGAGCTGCTGCTTCGTTGCTCTTCTCCCACAGCCCTTCCTATGTACACTTTGTAGAAGCAAGAAATCATATTTAGGGCTTCACTTTCGTCCTTCACTTTTTTTGTTCATTTTTGTTTGCTTTTTGCCCACTTCTGTACTGTTGAGCCTAAAGATGGAGGAAGTGGGAGAGGACCGTAAACTGGCAGTCAGATTTGGGAATTCACTGACGTGGGTAAAGAAACAAAAATGCTTCTCACTAAAAGCATTCAACAGGGCTTCCTAGGTCATCCTAGGAGCTACCAGAAAGACAGGCATTTCCCAACAAAAAGCCAGCCAAATCCATAAGAAATGAACATTTCTCTTTGGACCCAATTCTGTGCTTATTCCTGGGACAGAAGTCCTCACTGACACAAACAGGAGGTGGATCTTAGCAAGGCAAAGCCCATCCTCCCCAGAAACCCCAACAATGCTCTCATTACATTAATGGGGCACACACACGAGCCCCAGGAGACCATACCATAACCCTTCACAGAGTGACTAATCGCTTCTTCATTACCAAACTGGCAGTTTTCACTTCCTAAATCCCTGAGTAACAAGGCATCAAAAAGAAATGAATAAGCAAAACGAAGAAAATCCCTGCTATTACAGAGTGCGGCGTGCAGTTGTGGGTCGAAGGGATGGCAGCAAAGTGGGGAGGGACAGCAGCTGCATCGGTGCAACATCGTACTCCAAATGAGAAGGGAAAGAAGTAAAGGGTTAAGGAAGGTTAATCATTTCTTAACACGGATTTAATAGGATACAACTTAGTGCAAACTACATACTGCTAGGTAACTCCCAGGTGACCGTGCTTTGCTCCTCTGCAAACAATTCGGACAAGATGAGAGACATTATTTGAAGCAGCCCCACAGTACAGCCATTGTCAGACACCGCAGCAGATGTGCAGCAGACACGATGAGGGTGGGAGGGGAGGCGGTGGGGAGCAGGACAGCAAAGAGGCAGGGGAATGGAGAGCATAAGGGATTTGTTTTTAAGAGGGGAGAGTAAAAAAATAAATTAATTAATTAAAAAAAATGGAGGAATAACAGATAAATAACATGTCCAGAAAACAGAAGGAAAGGGAACGTATCGCAAATAAGAGTTGTAAGGAAATCAAAGATTGGGGGAGTGGAGCAACAGATGAGACTTGGGGGGCGGGAGGGGGAGACACACAGAGAGGACATTGGTTATTTGGCTGAAGCTACAACACCAGAACATTACATCATTACATGAGGTTAGATCTGCTCAGATATTACGGGCCTGATTCATCATAAGATCAGAGAGCTTTGGTGAGGGCAGTCGTGCTCTGGGGGACAAGTACTGTGCTCCTGCAAGCAAACACTTCTGGAAAAATGGAGTGGTGGAAAGTGACAGGCTTTGTCTCTGTGTTGGAGCGTTTCCCAGCAGCGTGGGAAGACATTGCTAGGACTGCTCAGGTCTGGGTGGGACCAGGCAGCACTGGAGAGGTCATAAATCATAGAATCATTGAGGTTCAAAAGACCACTAAGATCATCTAGTCCAGCCATCAGGTGCACGAAGAAGCAGCTCAACTCTTCCTCAGAGAAAACTGCAGCTGCAAGGTGCAGTGAAAGCAACCCAGCAGGTTGCTAAAACCTAAATCAGCCATATCTGCTGCAACAGAGAGGAGTTTCCCAAGACAAGGCTTACACTGTTGGCTTTGCTGTTGGTCACTACATTGCACTGGAAGGCTATCGGAGGTCTAGGATAAAGGACAACTCTGTCTTGGGAAGGCTGGAGGGAAGGAGTATGGTTTGTTTGGGGGTCTGTTTCTTTCATTAAGTGTCCTGCTTAGTGTTGCTGATAACTCAGAGAATCCCAGGAGACAAGATCCCAATCAGTGACTTGCTGGAGCTCTCATACAAAAAGTGGAGTTTCTGACGTCAGCTGGGAAATTTGTTAGCCAGTGAAGCATAGCTTACATCAGCCTAAGCACACTGGCAAAGTTTTTCTATCTGCTGGAGCCATTTCCACCTGTGCAATACATGGCCTTTGAGTTTTGAGGGGCAGCACATCCTCTGTGTTCTGCTTCATACGAAGAGCAATGGGGAATGGCTCACAGCCATGGGCTGCTCACTTCTTTCTGTATGAATCAGGCCCTTTGAACAAAAGACACAACTGTGAGATGTTCTGACACACAAGAGGAGGAATGGAGTCTAGAGAGCACCTGGGTTAACAAGCAGTGAACACACACAATGCCCAAAAACATGATCTCCTGTGCACTGAGGAACGTCCACAATTAATCACCAAATTGCTGTAAAAGCCAACTCTAATGATGAGGTTTCTTTACAAGAAGTTAAACAAGGAAAATGAAATCCTTAATGACATATTACCAATCACAACACAGGATACACTAATAACTGTGGGAAGAGGAAAACACAGGAAGACTGCTTAATTTCTCAGTAGAGCCTTCCAGGCACAGTCTCCCTGGTATTTTCCATACCTCCTGCATTTATCAAAGAGAACCACAGGAAATCTCCAGCTTATTTTATGGCTGGGGCATTGGAGCATGCTTCAGCTGTCTGTCTGGATAGATGGCAGACAACTGGCAGGGAGAAACATATGGCTTCTAGGAATACAGGCTGGCAAACACGTTTGTCCCCAGGTAATCAGAACAGACATTCTTGGGTCGGCAGTCACCATTTAGCAATCCAGAAAGAGGGATTTCTCTTGCTTGCTTTTTGCTGCAACCAGGAGCAAGTAAATCTGCGGACAATGCTGCGTTGCACATGAATGCCTGTCATCCAAGCAAAAAAGCCTGGCTACCAGGCGCCAGGTTCAGCTTCCAAAAAACCTCACAGGCAGCTGACAACAACAGCTCCAATCCCTTGCCATGCTCTCAGCCTCCCTCCCCCAGCTTCCCTCACTCACCTGAGTTTCGGCAGCCAGGCGCGGCATGGAAGCCGCCCGACCCTGGCTCTCCAGCCCTGGTTGGTGCTCTCCATTGGCAAGCGTGGGGCTGATTTCCCTCATTTCCACCACCTGAAGCAAGAAACAGTGTTAAATACCAAGGCCACAACAGCTTCAAAGCCCCTGTATTAGCAGTATGCTGCTAATCGATGTGTGAAGAGGTGCTGCTAGGGAAAGAGAAACTGGGAGTAACCCAAATTATTCTCTGTCAATAGGGTTGTTTTCAGCAAAGACAGCAGTGAGCCACGAGCCATGGCAATGAATCACGGAATCACAGAATGGCCTGGGTTGGAAAGGACCACAATGATCATCGAGTTTCAACCCCCTGCTATGCGCAGGGTCACCAACCACCAGACCAGGCTGCCCACAGCCACATCCAGCCTAAATGAATCCCAGCTCTGACCTCTGACACCTCTCCTCTGGGTTTATACACTAATAATAATGGGACAACAAGGAAGACAAAAGCCTAAGAGTCCCATCTCAGCAGACGTGTAGTGTGATCAGCAGGATAAGCACATCTGCAAACACAGCTAACAGACTTGCTTTCTCTCCATAATGTTCAAGCAAGTTTTGGATGGTAAGAGAGACAATGCTTGTCCCAGAGAGCAGTGGACCTCTCCAGCTCTTAGAGAAGTGTCTACCCTGACATCTATTAAGATCTGCTGCATTTCACCCAGTTTCACCTGTTTGCTTACCCGTTCAATGGGGATCTCCTCTGAGTGGCCTCGTTCAAAAGCTGGGGTCCTGGTTTCATAAAACACATCCTGGGTGCGTTGGGTTCCCCAGGAACTGGACTCTTTGATCCCACCCTCTGGGGCTGGCCTGCCAGAAGGTAAATTGGAAGAAAAGATGAACTCTTTTGCAAAAGGGTTTTGCTAACTTAATTGTGGCAAAGGTAAAGCATCCAAGTAACCTCTAACGTTTCATTTCTGAAACCAGCTGAAGGGTAGTTGGTGAAGCTATTAAGTCCTGTAGGCTTCCCCAGGGCCACTTTCTTTATAACTCAAAGATCCCTTGAGCAACCAGGAAAACAAAGAAATCAGCACATTCTTTTTCAGTAAATGAGGAAATTGACCTCTGCAGCTAAAGTTCTAATGAAGCAAAACAGACTGTTTTGGAATTTAAGCAAATTATGTATGTAAAAACAGACAAATAACCTTAAATGATGCTGGTCAAGCATAACTGCGCTCAGGCTAAGCTGAATTCACTGAATGTACAGGGGCATTGCAGCCCTAGGTTTTACGTCTGAGTCTGCAGTTCATCTCCTGAGGTATTTAAACTTCAGATCTCTATCATTAAAAAATCCATGGCATTAGTGACCCTGAAGAAAGTCACCTGAGGAACAGGAAATGGAGAATTGATTGGGGATTGCCATTACTGTAACTGTTTGGTTAGCTTTCTATGGAGGTGTTATTTTGTCCAAAGAGAAAGAGGCAGAGATTCTGTCCCAGACAGCCTTCAGGAAGCTCTTGCTGTTATCAAGTGCCATAATCTTAAAGGACTTGTCTGCTCCTGGTGTCCCAAGAACTCACTGCATTAGTGATCCATTGGTTGGTTAGCTTGGGATTTATCTGTTTTGCAATGTTCCCAAATTTCTATAACCAAACTCACACTTAAAACAGGCCACAATGGAAAACACTGTATTTAAGTTTCAGAGACCACTAGGGAAACACCCAGCTTTGGAGAACCCACCAGTACCACCATGTGGAGAGCTGCATTGAGAGGAGGTATTTCGACAGCCACCAGTGGAAAGCTGTCCTGGCCACACGTGAGGAGGCCCTTGAGCTTGGAGACACTGGAAATGCTCTGCACCACCACAGCAATTGAATCAGGGTTGATGTATCTGCCCTCCCTCGGTGCCCCTGCTCTGTATCACAGATACTCACAACGTGCCCCCGTTGTTGAGCGAGGCTGAGCTTTTCTGGCGCAGGAATGCCTTCGCATTGCTGAAGGCTGAGGGTTGGGTTTGCTCCAAAGTGGCCTTCAAGGGGTGGAAGAGTGACACCGGTCCGGGCTGTGAAGAACAAAGGATGGTTGTAAGAGATGGAGCTGAGTGTGGAGAGGATGCATGGCGCTAACCAAGCATCCCCTGCATCCCCAGACTTTCTGAGTGCAATGCACCGGTGACTCCAGTGAGAACTGCCCACTGCTTGAGAAGCAGCTGCAGGAGAGGGAGGACAGGGAGCTGCATCCCCAGTACCTGGCAGAGCCCCCCAGGAGGCTGGTGGACTTGTTCCCTGCTGTTCTTGTTCTGTTTGTAGAAGTCAAATATCATGAGCGCTGCGTAGACCTTCCCCACAGTCATCTCATCAGCTGGTGAAAGGCAGGAGGTGTTCGGGTGGAGAAAGGGAAAGGAGCAGGGGAGGGGTGGATAAGTCAAAGCGCGTGAGAAACATCAAAGGGGTGTGAGAAACAAGGTGAAAGAACAGGCAACGTTAGAGTATTGAGGCAAAGCAGACACAGGGAAAAGGAAAAAAAGAAAAGCAAAAAAGGTTACAACAGAGTTCTTCAGATCTTTGCCAGTTGCTGCCTTAACATCTGAGGAGGGCGGCCCCTCGCCCCTAACTCCCAATGGCAAACATTGACAGAGGCTGGGTGGAAAAGAATCAGGCAGAGAAACTCCATGGCACTGTCAGCACTGCCAACAAAGAACCACTAAATTAATACCAGATCTGCAGCAAACTTTTCATCAACAAAAGAGCCTTTTCTGTGAATTATAGTCAACCGGGGCATAGCAGGCTAACGTACATCTCAAAGTATTTCATTTTTCCAGATGTCTTTTTCACCCTCCCAGCTCTTCTCCCCTCCTTTCCCTACCCAGCAGCTGAACAAAAAGGAGTTAAAAGACACAAAGGCACCATGAGAAGTGAGGAGGAAAAGAATTCTGTAGTTGCTACCCACTGATCTGCACCTCCTCAGTTCCCCCATCTGTCTTAATTAACTTTGCCTTTATTGCTTTGCACTGTTTCTCATTAATCAGGAATCCGAGTCCTTGCTTTGGCCAATCAAGATAATGGCAAGCTTTCCACTTTCTCAGCACTTTCTCCTGGGATATCATTGAGCAGCACAAGGTTCCAAGATACCTCACTTCTGATTCTGTAAGTTCTCAGCAAACTTTTAATTTTCTTCTCCTGGTTTTCTGCAGCAGACTGAACCCAGATGGCAAAAATTGCTCTTCTGCCCTTTGAGGCACAAGCTGGAGGCAAACAAAAGCTAGGAACAACGTCTGAAAGAAGCCACACAGCATTGGTCTCTTCTCAGCATGGTGCTTTTTCTAAGGACGTGAAACCTACTGTAACGTTAAGGAAACGCAGGCCTAAATTTGACCTCAGCTTACCTGCTCCTTAGGTGGTCATAGAATCATTAAGGTCGGAAAAGATCACCAAGTCCAACCACCAACCCACCCCACCATGCCCACTGATCACGTTCTCTAAGTGCACATCTCTATGTTTTCTGAAAAACTCCAGGGAAGGGGACTCCATCACTTCCCCTGGCAGCCTGTTTCAATACCTCTGTGATCAGCAACACCTGCAAGCTGATCTACACTGGGTTTCTTTGCTGCATCCTGTGCATATGAACTGTGTACCTGGTTAAGGCTCGGGACAAAGCAGGCATGAGGGGGGAAAACCCATGCCAGGCTTCTTGGAGGACTGGGTGCTTACGTTTGTGAGGAGGCACCAGCAAATCCAGTGTCTTCTGGGACAGGTTGGGCCAAACCAGAGAGATCTCCTTTCTCAGCTCAGCATCACACTGGTGCTGCTTAACACCCCCTGAAAAAAAAGGGAGAGGAAACAAGAAGGCACACGAGTGAAAATCCTCATTCGTTCAGCACAGCAAGCACAGAAAACACATCCCCCACTCTCCTTCCTCGACAGCACCAAACCAGAACCAGATGCAGCAGGAAACTACAGACCACGACTACAGCGTGTGAGCTCAGCAGGGCCAGCCCCAGCCTGCTGACCTGTGCTGTCACCTAAGGCTTAAACTTCAGCCCCAGCCTCTTCTACCTGATTGCATGTGCTGCCCAAGTACCATCAGCAGAAAGCAGCAGCACCTGCAGGGTGTGATGCAAAGGAGGTCAGCGATGATTAGAAGCCCTCCCCAGCAGCAGTCCTTCCTGAGCTGTTTGGCAGCGGGACATAAGCAAACCCTCACAGCACCGTGTTGTATCAACAGCATCAAACGGGAGCCACGGAGCAGCATAAACCAGGAGGAGCTGAACACTGCAGCATTATTCAAACGGCCAAAGTGAGGTCTCAATACACAAGTGGAAAGTGATTAAAGTATATGTAAGCCAACAGGCCAGCTCCCAGCTGAATGCACCACACAGCAGGCAATTAAGTAGTTCATCTGAATGACAGAGATTATTTTTCTAAGAGGAAAGTAATGGGAGGAGGCTCTGGGTGCTCTGCTACATGGCAGTCTGAACTCCCACACTCAGTCTCATTAGGGAGGGTTTATTAAGGGTCTGTTAGCCTTACTAAAGACTCAATTAAATGCAGCACATGAAACCTATTCAAACCAAGCAACGCAGCAACAGAACAGGTCGAGAACTCACAACCTGCAGCAGATAGAGGCCTCTGAGCAATGCCTGCACTATCGGCCAGGCTGGTTCTCTGCTTTCTCTATGGTGCATGGTTAAAAAAATAGAAAGGGGGGACTTTTGCAACTGAAAAAGCCTGCGTGAATTATGCTGCTGACAGCCAACTAGAACCTTAAAATAAGGCAAACTCTCAGGGCTTCAGTGGCTTTGTCCAGATTTTGTTACTAAAATAAGGTGTTGCCCCTAAAATCCCAGAGAGTCTTAAATGCATCCTTAAATATGAGCATAATTAGGGTAGTCCTTCCGGGGCCTCAGAGTTTTTGTGTTCTTCTAGCATTGCCAAAGCATCAAAGATGAAGTTTCAGTAACAGACTAAGAAGGCAATTAATGCAGAGAGGTGGAAAGGCTGGCCTAAGGAAAAGCACAGCATTCTAACCCAGCCCTACCCTTTGCTCACAAGAGCACTGTTGCCTCCTGTTAGCCTCTAAATTAGGTAAAACAGTGCTTTGGCCCATTGTGCCTTGACTGTGACCCCAGCCAGCCTGATTAAACAGCGTAACGACCCATAGAAAAGGCCGGTGTGTTTTACTACCTTGCAGTGTTTAATTGGGAAGTGAAGTATATGCCTGAGTAAGCACTTAAATAATAACATTTTATCTCAGGGCAGCTCAGAGTGCTCTGAGTCACTGCCTCACCACAAGCAGACAGTAACACTGTTGTTGTTGTTTTTTTTCTCCCTCATGCTGGAATAATCACAAAGTGAGGTGCAGAAACTTGTGTCTATTACAGGGCATGCATGGGGCTCCCAGCTGAGCTGGGATGGCCAAAGCTCTGCACATCTCCTTAACCAGGATACGGCTGACCAAAGGCACAACAGGGCTCAGGACTCCCCTCTGCTGCCTGTCCCTGGAGCTCTCTCATATTTTGGGTGTACAGAATGAAAATGGGATTTCCACCTGGCTTGTCACTGCTGTGGTTTCAGGACTGCAGAGCAGCAGGCAAGTTGGGGTTCAAGCCATGCAGCTGTCATTCCCTCCCTCTCACCTGAGGCAAGCTTGATTTCCAGAGCAGTGCGGATCAGGGCCATCAGCGTGGAGGTGAAGTGGACTGTCAGATCCTCGGGTGAGATGGGCATGTTCATCCTCACCAGGCGCTGCGGGAGGAAAATGGGCACTGTCAGCTTTGGTCAGCATTTCTCCCCCTACCCCTCCCCTTCCCTCCTGAGAGCCCCTATTAACAGCCCCATTGCAAACATGAGCCCTTCTCCTTGTGTTAACCTTTTGTGCACTGAGCTCAGACATCATCTCCATGCAGCTGGCAGCTCCTTTCCTGGAGCAGGGCTGAGCTGCTGCTATTGGCTGTGATGGATTGCCAGCATTTGTACTGCAATGCTATATGGAGATTCCTTCCAAAAGAAGCTGGTTTGAATATCCTCATCCCATTTCAGAGCCTATCACTCTGCTCCTGATGGTCTTCATCTACAGTCCTACCTGCAACCTCTGGACACGCAGCTCTGCAGACCTTGGAGCGCTCCCATGATGATGCCTGAAGCACACAGCCTGAAGCACATTTGGGGCATACAGGGCCAATGAGCTTTGTGGTTTGGCCTAGTTTGGGTCTGGCTGCTAATACGTAAAAGGATAGAATGTTCATTTTTTTGGAGACTCTGGGGTTCGATCTTGGACCTCCTTTACCTATAAGCATTCCAAGAGCTGTGAAGATCTCCAGTCAATGAGCTACACAGCTCCATCCAGGTCTTACCCTTAGGGGAAGGAACTGAGTGGGCGAGATCAGGACTGTAATTTCCTTCTCCCACATTCTTTCAGTCTGCACAAGGAACAGTCCCTCAGAATCTGCACGCATCTTCCAAGATCTTTAGACCTGGTGGCATCTCCTTCCCCACCAGCAATCAGGACCAGCTCTGATGGGGCAAAATCATCCCTCCTATATGCAGTACAGACCTGAGCACAGTGCTTCAGAGGCTGTGGCTCCCTTAACATCTGGCGTCTGAGTGTGGAAACGCAGACGAGTGGAAGCATTCTCCGATAACCTTAGCAGTGCATTTAAAGGATGGATTTCTTCTCCTTTGGTAATCTCCTCGTTTCTCAGCTCCTCAGCTTTCAAAAGCTGCTGAGCCTCGCTCGGAGCCTTATCAAAGCAGCCCCGGTGTTTCCGCTCCCAGATTGCTCCTGCGCCCCGAGGAAGTCACCGAGAATTAATCTTTGCTGTAAGCTAAGCAGGAGCCTGGCCGGGGCCCCTCGCTCGGGAGGGAATTTCATCCAAGCCCAAAAGCTGCTTAGGCTGTGGCTTTGATCCCTATCAGTGTTGCAGAACCCTCTCTTTGTTCAGCACCAGCCGCCGTGCTGCCGCAGCACTGAGCACGGGCGCACGGGAGAGCGCAGCGCCTGCCCTGCGTGCCACGACACCGCGCAACACCGAGGGCAGCTTGAGAAATCACCAACACGCAGGCATTGTGCTGCTGGTGCTGATGGGCACGGGGCATTAATTAGGTGAAAAAAGTCTGCTTGTCAAGCAAGCTGATGTTTGGCAGAGCTGAGACCCACCCTGCCCCCTTTTTATCTTATTACGCATCTTCGGATTTCATGGCACGGTGCACAGAGGACTCATGTAGCAACTGACCCTGTCTCCTGAAGGCTGAGACGAACCACTGCAATCTCAAAGAGCTCTTAAAGCGTGCCCAGAGGTTATCAGTCGTGTCTGACAAGCCCCTGAGAAAGTGAAATCAAAGCCAAGACTCCCCTCCCTTTGTAACTCAGTGACAGCAGCAAATGCTGGCAAAGCCACAACCGTTTTCTCTTTTCACTTATCTCCAATGAAGAAGCATTTTAATTCAGACTTTCCCCTCAGTGCACAAAAAGGTAGCACAAGATTTCTGCATGACTGTGAGCCCAGAGACCAGCAGTCCCATCACATCCCGCCACAGTGGGACAGAGAGAATAAAGAGCTGGAGAGTGAAAGAAGATGCATGGCAGAGAGGAACAAGCAGATGAGAAATAATCCCTCCAGGAGAGCTCTACCCTCACAGAAACCAGCACTAAAAACCTATTGTGGGACTGCAACATCCCAGTCCTCTCCCCCAGTTTCCCAGACTGAATTCCCCAGAAGTGTGGAGGCAGAGCACAGCAAGGCTGCATGAAGGTCTTTCCTCCTCAATTGTATTCAGGAGGGATATTAGTAATGTTAGGAGGAAGTTTTTCACTCAGAGGGTGGTGAGGCACTGGAACAGGTTGCCCAAGGAGGCTGTGGATGCCCCATCCCTGCAGGCATTCAAGGCCAGGCTGGATGTGGCTCTGGGCAGCCTAGGCTGCTGGTTGGTGACCTGCACACAGCAGGGGGTTGGAACTGGATGAGCATTGTGCTCCTTTGCAACTGAGGCCATTCTATGGTTCTTGATTTAAAGGGAGGTTTTCAAGAGGTAGAAAGGAGGTTCAAGCTTGTGTGTGCAACCGCACACTTGCTTTGCTGAACAAAATACCTGCACCCAAGGCAGCACTGGGTGGGACTGCTGAGAACGGCCGCCTGGAAGCGTTCCCAAATCACAGCCCTCTCATCTCCCTGCTTTCCTTTTTTCTAGACCCCAGAAGGACCCCATAATGATGGGGATGGCAGGGAAGTTTACACTGCTCCGGGTTGCTACGGGAATTGACGGCCACAATCAAGGGCTGTTCAGGTGAATTAATTTGGGGCAGTGAAAAAGGCAAAACCAAAGCAGACCTGGCAGGATGGTGCTTCCCATGCTGCTCCTCTTCCTCCTTTTGTCTCCCATATCCAATAGCATCTAAGGAGGAGTAGCAGCAGCAGCAGTCCCTGTTTCTTTTCCCAGTGCATGCTTTGGGACCCATCTCCAGCTCTGGGATTTAATCAGAAGGTTTGGGAGGGATGCAAAGGGAGCTGGCATGGGGGATCTCATTATGTTTCTATAGGAAAAGGCCCCCAAGGGAGGAGCTGCAATATTATCTCCAGAGTCTCCTAATTAACTTTGTGTACCACAAAAAGGAGAGCGATAACAAATGGTAACTGATTACAGCTGGGTTACAGTAGGTGATGCTTTTTGCTGCAGTTGCTTGTACGGTCAGAGGGGTGCAGGCATCTTCCAGCACCAGCAGAGATTTCCCTGCAAATAAACAAAGACACGGGCAACAAGGAACCAGAGCTTTGCATCAGGTGGAGTTGGCAGAATTTGTGCCTGCTCAGAGTTTGGTTTCTGAGTGTCTTCTGCCTGGAGGCTTCTGGGGCAGTGTTCACACAGACAGTGAACATGCTGCAGAAATGGGGAAATTCATGCTGGTGTCAAAATCCAGGCGAGGGTAAAGCAGCACCTGGGTGAGGCTGAAATCTTTTGCTGGTTCCCAGTGTGACCCAGAAAGTGAGCACTGAGCTCAGGCTCAAACATTTGCCCAAGTATTGGCAGAAAGAAGAGCTGGGAAAACAGCTGGCACCCTGATGGATTTTAATTATTAAGAACACCTCATCAGCAGCTCCTGAGCAGCCTCTGGGACAAGAACTGCTCTGGGAATAATTTTCAAATGTGAATAAATTCAGGACAATGGAGCACTGCTTGCAGAAAACGAGGCTGAATTTGGTGAATAAATTATTTGCTATGAATAATTCACTCCGACCTAGTTGTAATTATTCTGCTCTGCTTTAACTCTTCTCTCATCTTCAGAGAGGCTGCCCAAGCCTTCCTCCCTTCGATGGCAAGGGTGGATTTAGGTATAGGGGAAAAATTCTTCACTATGAGTATGGTGGAATAGTTTCTCAGGGAGACTGTGGATGCCCCATCCCTGGAGATGCTCAAGGCCAGGCTGGATGGGCCCTGGGCAGCCTGAGCTGGTGGGAGATGTCCCTGCTCGTGGTGGGGTGCTGGAGCAGGCTGCAAGGTCCCTTCTAACCCAACCACTCTATGAGTCTATGCTTCTATGAACGCTGACCCTGCCCTAGCACACGGCCAGGCTGCTGCATGGAGAAGTCCCGTCACACTGCACAGAATTACAGCAGCAGCACAGGCATTTCCAGCACCCATTTTACAGACCCTCCCTGTGATGCACAGCATGGCCAAGCAACGTGGCAGCTCCTTGCATGGAAGGAGCCCTTCCTGCAGGTCAGCGTGCGTAGCTGGGACTTAAAATCATGGAATCATTAAGGCTGGAAAAGTCCACTAAGATCATCCAGTCCGACTACCAACCCCAACATGCCCACTAAACTACATCCCTCAGTGCCACATCTCCATGTTTCTTGACAACCTCCAAGGATTTGCACTCCTCAGGTGTCCTGCCACGTCTGTGCAACAGGCACTCACTTCCCCATGATGTTTCCTCCAGTGGAGGGAGGCCAACAGCCACGAAGCACGCAGATGCCTGCTGAAAATATTGCTACTAGTGAACAGCATTTGGAAACTGAGGACTCCTCACCATAGACAAGCTGATGATAAGGGGCCTCCAAGTCTCAATAAATGAGAGTAAATGTACCCAAGAGTTCCCAAACTGAGTAAAACCAAGCAACCCCAACCAGCCAATGGGCCAGAGATCCAATCTCAAGGCACTAGAGTGAAGTCAAAGTGGTTTTCTCCCCTTTTTTTTTTTTCGTTTAACCACATAGAAGAGATTTTAAAATGCATTTCTTCCCATTCCCCCCACTCTGGCTGCAGGATAGAGCTCTCCTGGTGCCCCAGGACCCCACATGCACAGCAAGCTCTGGCCAAGGCTGGGCACACAAACCCAAGAGGACAACTGAGAAAAGGGAACCAGAAAGCAACAGAGAGGAAGGACAGCAGCCAACAGGGCTGCAAGGAGGAGAAAACCCAAACGAAACAAACACAGACATACTGAGAAGGGTGACGACTGGGGAAAAGCACACAAAGCCTTTACAAATGGAGAGGACTGGGAAAAATTATATATATGGAAAGGAAAAGGATGGAGGTGTGGGTCAAAAGGGCTTTTGCCAGACAAAAGAGGAAGTTTTTAAAAAATCTATATTGTCTCGTGGAGAGGGAGGGAGCAGAAATGATGCAGAGACCATGGGAAAAGTTCAGAACTGGTCTCAGGTTCATACTGCTGCGGTTTGTGGCTCTGTGATAAGGGACCAAATGAATCAGATTGCCCTCGAACTCAGAAACCTGATGTACAGTTGAGGTTTGGGCTGTTCAGTGGGAACCCCTCTCTGCTTCTGGTTCAGCCACACATAGGCACCTTCTAGAGGTTTCTAAGTGGATGGGTAAAAATTAAACAGCTCTTTGTATATATATACATACATATACATACATATATATACATACATATATCTTAAAAACAAACCATCCGTGTGTACCCAGCTTCTGTGGATTTTCTCTGTAAAGACCAATTAAACCAGAGACCAGCTAACTCAGAAGGAAAGGACAGATTTGGGAAGGCACAGCTGCAGTGCCTGCACCTAGGGAGTTCTTCTGCAGCAGCTGAGAGCCATCACAGAGAGACACAGAGACTCCTCACTATGGAAATCAGCCAAAAGCCTTGTTTAAAATGCTTATTTTAATATATGTTATTTATATATTCTTTTTTTTTCCTCCCTTCCTTTTAAAGGTTTGGAGGGGAAGGGAGGAAAAAGTGACAGCTTTATGCTTCTGGCACACGTGTGTGACCTCAGAGCTGTAACATCTCCAGCTCCCAGCAGTGCCCGCTCCCTGTGAAGCCAATGGGAACTCAGAGGTGCTAAAAGGAGCCACCTATTGCTCTAAAAGCTTTGGGGCTTCTGTGCATAATTGGTACCTTTGCAGAAGTGTTTAACTGTGTGGGTATCCATCTGAAATAGCTAGGAGGGCATTAAGGCAGCTGGGTTTCTCGAGTGGATTCACGGTAAGGTGGTGATGAGTTGTTCAAACAGAAGAAGTGCTCCTTTAAACAGCTTCTATTATAGCATCAAACTCGTCAAAAATGAGTATGGAAAAGATACCTAACTGCCTAGTTTTAAGGTTCTGCTCTCTTTGCTCTTTATATCCCAACACGCGGAGGAAGGATCTTGCAGAAAGCCATATCTGAACCTCTTCCTGCTGCTGTGTCCTGGCAGGCCTGGGTTTTTTGGCTTAATTAAAGTTCCAAAACCTGGCTTTCATAAAAGCTCAACAGAAAGAAAAAAAAACCCAGCATCTTTGGGAGGAACATTGTGATCTGAATCCACTGCATCCCACTGCACCAAGCATGGCGAGGGGCGAGAATGAGGCTTGGTGGTACCCAAAATGAGGTCAACAACAAAAAAAACCAATAACCCCGTTGAGTTTCATGGACACTGAGCTGTGCAATTCTGGGTGTTTATGGCAGACCTCTTCTGAAATAAATGGTGAAGTTTGGTGTTAAAAGATCCTGAGGAGCTGGCCCTGTTTGTGTCTGAATTACCACTGTGCTCATCAAGGCAGCAGCTGGCAAGCAGCCCTTCAGCTGTAATGCCTTCCTGCAGCTCAATTAAAAAGTTTTTCAGAATCAACAATCAGTTTGAGTGATTTCTTCATCTCACCATCTTAAATGCTCTGCATTAAAATAATTTCTTTCATGAGGGTATTTAAGGAGCCCTTCTGGCGTTGCCTCTGTTTAATAGCTCGCAAACTCCTACAGCACTGCCTACTCTAATTACACCAATCTAATTTAGAGGGGGGAAAACCACCATCGTACTGATGGGCTAGTGAGAGCGGTGGAAAGACAAATGGGGATTGTAGTGGCAGGGTAATTTACTCATTAGCACCCTCCCCAGAGTAGCCTAGATGGAAGCAGAATGAGAGAGAGAGAAACACTGATAGAAATAGCAGAGACATACTGAAAGACAAACTGACGTGCCACCGTTTCAAAGACCAAAAAAATGGTTACCAAAAAAAAAAAAAAAAGAAAAAGAAAAAGCAGCAGATCCAAACTCCAGTCTGCTTGGGAAGCAGAGAGAGCACTCAGAAGGAGCCCAGGAACAACACTAACGTCACAGAAATGGCACCCGCTGCAGCCACGGCACAAAAAGCTGGTGGGTTGGCAGGAGCTGCTGGGGTGGTCTACCTTATAGGCAACGCGAGCAGGGCATTTCTTTCCAAGGCCTAGAGGTGGGGACATGTGTCTCAGCATCTCATACATGTCTGTGTAACTGATGCGCCCGCTTGGAGTCAGAGGGAGAGAGGCAAAAGCGAGAGGAGACGGAAATCAAAGCAGAGCAGGACGGGGAAAAAGGGAGGTGGGGAAAGGGGAGGGCAACACAACAGAGCAAATGAGGAGGAGAGAGAAAGGGGAAAACAGACAAGAAAACAGAGATCCGGTTAATCAGATTTCTCAGGAAAACAAAACCAAAGAAAGAGGTGGGTCAATCAAAGGTTCTCCACTTTCATTCTTGTGGTTCGGCACCCAACGTCTCCTCCTCGCCATGGGGAAGCCCCACATCCCCAGCAGCTGGGAATGATTGAGGTCTCTTTTGGGAGGGAGGGCTTGGGTTTGGGTTTTGGGGGCAGAGGTGTGCTTCCTCTGCCTCCTCTGCTCCCCAAACAGGTCCAAGAGGCTGTGATCACCATGCCAGGGACAGCTGGTAGGCAGAGTTATGGGACAGGGGGCTTTCCCTCAGCAAATGAAGAGCTGGGTTTTCAGGTTAGCCTATAGACTGCCAGAGAAGAAATAGCTATTTCTAATCCTAAAACTCCTAATTTGCTCAGGGGCACAGACGGGGGGCTACTCTAAGTCAAAGGTGCAAGTCTGCAGATCTCCAGCCAGACTGAATGTAGGGTCAGCAAAACCAGAGCCCAGCACCTAACCTGCAGGATAGTGGTGGAAAGTGGACTTGTTTCTGCCTTGCATTGCATGGGCCCCTCTCTCCTCAGCCCAACACCCACTGCCTGCCTTCACCACCAACTGGCTGCCCTGTGTGTCATGGAAGCCCTTCAAGAAGGACAGTTGCAGAAGCAGGCACTGCATGCCAGCCTGCTGCCCTGACACGTGTCTCAAATCCTGCACTGATGCAGGAGTAGGCGGACGAGAGAACTTACCCTGCCAAACCCATCTATTCCTGTCCTTAGTGACTAAAGCATTTAACATACCTCTCCGGCTTGATAGCCCAGAGTTAATCTGAAAGCTGATGAGAGACAGAAATTGTAATTGCAGCCAATGATTTCCCCCTGGCTTCCCTCCTCTGCTCCTGGCAGAGGGCTCGGCGCCTCTGAATTCTTGGCAGTGCCCATCCTCTGCTCTCCACCTTCGCTCCCAAGTGTTGCACACCTTCAAGAGGTTCCCTGCTGTATCTAACATAACTCAGAGGCACGAGTGTTGCTGCTCCCAAGGCAACCTCTGGCTCTTGCAGTCGGGTGGACTCAAAGCTCATCCCTTCATCTCTCCCCTGCCTGGTCAACCAGCCCATTCCTAAATGCCCTTCCAGCTCAGGAAAAGGAAAGGTTCAAACCTGAGTCACTCAACTAGAGGGACAACACTGCAAAGCCCCCCAAGAATCTTGCTGCTCCCCAGAAATCCTGGGATAGTATCTCTCTCTGGCATATAGATGTAAAGCGAGGCACTTAGACACTGTGCTGCTTTTCCCTAACACTTCCCACCCAGCCTCTGCGTGATGCAAGCTCGAGGGTTGGCTGTCTCATAAGGCTGCCTGGCCCCAGCCAGCTGGGTGTGGGAAGGGATGGGGCAGGGATGAGATGCACGGAGGAGCGAGGAGGCAGTCCATCAATCATTCCTTGGTCAGGCAACCAAGTTTTGTTACGTTACAGTTTCCTTTCTGTACCGTTCGCATTTGCACTTGGGGGTAAAAACAAAAAAAAAAGAAATAAAAAACAAAACTGAAAATGCTGGAGGGAGTCTCTGAAGTTGCAAACCTTGTATGCCACCCTATGAGGGCACTTCTTTCCTAAGCCCAGGGGTGGAGCAATTACACGTAACAAATTGTACATATCCTTATAATGAATCCGGCAACTGGAAAGAAAACATCAGAAGTTATGACAGCAAAAACGTGGGGAAATCAGCCTTTCCCTTGCAAACAGAAGAGGTTGGAAGGACAAACCACGCTGAAAAGCAAAGTTAGCCTGATAACAACTGAGCTTGTGATGAAGAAGTGACTTTAACACAGATGGAGAGAGAGACAGAGTGCTTCCTGCTGCTCAATAAAAGCTTCATTTTCATATTTCTTTCATAAAACCTTCCGTGTCATAAGGTAGAATTCCCATCCATTGCATTCACTTTCCAGCATCACTGTGTTTCACCTCTCGATGCCTACAGAAGGCACCTACCCACTGCCCAAGCACTGAGCAGTAAAACCAGGGCCTGCAGCACACCAATGGTTTACTTAATGGATTATCACTGGGATTTGGACGAGCAGGTTCAACAGAGCTTGGGAACCTCCACCTCCCGCTGCTATTACCTGCATAGCCTCAGCTTGCTGTGTGGACAGTAAGCAACGTGCTGGAGGGAGAGAAACTGCACCTCAAGGTCCACCAGCACTGGGAAGACGGAGTCTTCATCACCACAAGGTGAAATCAGATGCCCTGAGGCAGCTTCACGGTCGATCTAATTAACTCACAACAATACTTTCAGCCAATTTGACAGTAGGATTAGATTTCTTAATCTTCTGCACGTAACCAAATCATGTGCGAAAGAACGACCTCTAAAGAAAAATGAGATGCTGTGGCTTCACCATGTTTATTTCTGTACATTACATGAAGAAGGCTGGAATATTTTGGAAATGCTCCTTCAATATCACTGCTTTTTTGCATGTGAAAAGTTAAGATCTATTCAAAACCTTCACAATCAACTCAAAATATTAATTTACAAGCAGATCAAATAGGGCTGTGTATGTCTTGGCTGCAGGTCTAATCGTAGTTACAAAACGTGCATTGGTTTAACTGAGTCGAGTAGTTTACCCCAATTTTAGAAGGGTTTTGCCAAATCAGTGTGTAGCAAATGCACAGGAGCATTTCCTTGCTTTCTCCATGAGTCAGTGGGACTCCTCCTTGGCTGTCCCTTGTCCAGCATTCAGGAATAAGGAATGGGAAGGCTGACCAACATTCCCAATAGCTCCAAGGTTTGTGCACTGGGGAGCAGGGCACAAGGGAAGAAATTCTCACTTCATATATCTCAGACATAAAGGAAATGCTCTTTCTCAGCTCACCCTTCAGTTCAGTGCTATGCCGGTTAACTCGCAGCCTCAGACCTCGTGTGCGTTTGCTCTCCTGCTCTCTCCTTTTCCGTGATGCCTGAGGTCTCTGCTACCCCTAAATCCAGCACTTTTACCACACTTGCCCCCCAAGTGCCACACACATTCACAACAGCTGCTAGCTGCACTTTTTAACTTCACTTTGGAATATATTTTCCAGGAAAATTTTAAAGAAAGTTGGAGGTTATAACGAAGCCAGGGGTTTCTGACATCAGAAATAGGTACGTCAATGCACACACAGTTAAGTCCATGTTGAAAATGCTTCTTACAGAACAAAAATATTACAAAATTTGCACTTCTTTGCCAGCCAGCATCTTTCATCAAGGGTCTCAAGCTACAGAAGGTGGCAAACACCATCATTTCCTTTTGCATGGGACAGCCAAGGGGGAGACTGTGAGAGAAGGCACGAAACAGTCAAAGATGGAAGCAAAAGCTAACAGCCTGGGACTCTTCCTTCATGCAAATTGTACTATGGTCACTATTTATCATAACAATATACTGGGAGTTGACACCGAGAAATTGGCTGGAAGCTTTTTTTCAGCAAGTTTGACCAACTAAGGGAACAAACAGAGAATGGATTCTCAACAGCCCTGCATCCTCAGCTGAAAAGTGGGTGCTTGGTCCTGCTGGGAGCAACACCTTACGGGACAGTTTGTTCAGCTGCATCCTTGGATCACCATTGGGAGATACAAAGTCCAAGGCCACAACGGAGTTCAGCCCAAACCTTCAAAAGATTCGCTCTGGCCTTAAACTAGAAATGGATTTGGGATTGCTCTTGCATTGTGCAAATGTCAGCCCCACTGTGAAAACATACATGATTTCAGTGGAACGATTCACACATGGAAAATGCAGAACATGCACACGTTTCGGGACCAAGGCTTGAGTACCACGCCTCAGCTTCCCTTGCTTTGCACTTCTGTCCCTAGTTGCTCTGCCAACATCAACAGCTCCACACCAAAGCAAAATGGGAGCAAGATTAGGGAAAAATCAGAATCAGGATCTTTATTTATGGCGTATTTTGTGTTAGCAGCTCTAGAAGCGAATGGGTGAACGCCCCATGAAACATAACCTCTGTGCTCAGAGTTAACAGTGCAAGAAAATCTTTAAACTTTCATGGGCAGAAAGCTCCTGAACATATAAACACGAATAAAAACTGCACTGGTACTTATGATTTCCCCTCACGGTGTGTGACTTCTCCCATGGATGATAATCAGGCTGTTTTTGAGTCGAAAAGGGGCGCACCCAACTTCTCAGCCTCACTGAGATTTCCGAGTGGCAAGAGATAGGATTGGATTTGCAATAGAAAAACAGTTATTTACTCCCTGCCAAATACCCACAAAGGACATGTCTGTATTACGGAGCACGTGGTAAGGAAAATCTGCTCAGAGATTACAAGCTTCCAGTATGTGCTGTGCCACATATGTGCAAGCTTGTTGTATAGATGGCTTGAAGCTAGTTAAAAATCACACACAGGTCATTTTGGGTAGGTTTACACTTAAAGTTAGTCTAAGTCAATTTTAGTGAGATCTTCAAGCGGTTTAATTGCATCCTAGCAGGGAGTTTCAGATCCTGATTATACAAACCCTGCCTGCATCTGCCTCCACTGAAGAGAAACAAAGAAGTGCAAAGGTTTTAAGAGCTGCAGGCAGCTTCCTCGCACAGGCAGAGGGGATTCTCTGCAGTGTAACTTGTGGGGAGGAAGATGGGAACAAAATTAGCAGGGCTCGGAAAAAAAAAAGCTTCTCAGCAGGCAAATGCCCAAGCTGCAGATTACTGAGGAACCTGTTGTGACCTGTAACTCAAAGCATCCCGAAATGACAATGACAGTCACCAGCACTATCGTGTGGCTTTACACAGACAAAGGGAATAACAAAATATTCAAGTCAGTCTTGCTCTAGAAGTGATCCCCAGCCCAAATTATCTCTCTGTATTTCTCCATCCCTTAAAAGGCTGCAGCAGTGGCTCCTGGGTCTGCCACAGCACAGAGCTGCTCCTGAGGGGCTGTGCTGCCAAGCGAAGGGGTTTGGCTTCCCCAGCTGTTATCTTAGGGTGGGAAAAAGCAAAGACAAAACAGTAAAACCAAATACTTCATCATCAAGTTGGGAGAAAAGCATTTCCTTCTTTACCACGATCGCATATCAGAAACATTTCATCAGAGGCTCACTGAAATCTCAAATGTTTTCAAAGTCAGGCTTACTGCATTTTCTTCTTATTATTTCACGTGTCTTAGGTTTCAACTGCATGCCCCAAACTTAAATATTATTTATAAGAACAAAATCTCCCTCTACAATGATGCTGTCATCAGAAGGAGGCTTCCAAGATCAAAACATAGGGTTCTATGAGAAACGTCCATTTAGAAATCCTGCTTTCAGCAACAGCACCCTCATGTTAACAGGCCTTGCATCACGCCATGCCGTCTTACAGGTGCCTGAAAGTGAAAGATCCATTCTGGGCCCACCGTACTGTATTAGCAGAAGCCAAGCAGTGGAGTTTGTCATCTCCTTTCAAAGGAGAGAGAGCATCTTGCGAACCTGAAGGTTGCCATGTCTCTGCACAGGATTTGTGAAGCTGCTCACGTGCTTCTCAGCTAGGATAGGAATGCTGCCTGCTTAAGGAGCAGTGAGGCTTAGCTTCACAAGTCAAGAAAAACTGCCAATGGCAGCACGTTCAGCTTATCTTTGGCCTGAGATACAGGAACCAAAGGCAATCAAAGCTGCTTTTGGAAAAGCTAAATATCTTTTTTGCTTGGCCATTCGGCCAAGATTACTTGAATTTATCCTATTATTTTTTGGCCTTACATGTGCATGGGGTGACAGTGGTTGTGCTTGGCTTTACTGAGTTGTTGGTTTAGGTCTATCTCGTGTGTACTGAACGGAAATTCTCTTGTAATGACATCAGATTAATTCATCTCCAATACATACTGAACTTTAAATGGATCATTTACCTCACACATTACTTCAATTTTTACACATTTTTCTTTCTGGAGTTGCATTCACATTCAGAACAGGCTGTGTGCATAAATATGATACCTGTATGCAACATAAATCCTTTTCTCCACATGCAAGTATAAGAGCACACATACCAGGCAGCTGGGTCGTATTCAGCCCAGACACGAACAAACTCATCCAAATGATGGGGCCCAAGGATGGAGGAGTCTCTTGTCAAGTATTCAAAGTTGTCCATGATTACAGCCACAAACAGGTTCAACATCTGCAGAGAAGAAGCAGTTATGAAGTTAGGCAGAATAGAAAAATAAAAGCAGGAAGGTTAAGAGGGTGATGAATTTCTTAGCAAGACACGCGATTCCCACACCGCGGTTGTTGGCCAGGAATTGCCTACATCTCCCCCAGGAGCTGCTTTTTGCTTGCAGGGTAGCAGCCCTGCCCTGTCCCCTTCACTGCAAGAGCCAAGTGATGCAGGTAGATGGGAAGTGAGAGGTATCCTCAGGACTTCTTGCTGGGGTTGTCAGCCCCCTCCCCACCTGAAACCCACAGCCTCACATCAGAAAGATTTAGGCTTGCACGAGGCCACTCTAAAGGCAGCAGATTGGCTGCTTACAGGCCCTTGAGCAGAGAACCTCTGAAATTGTGTGGATTTTAACACATTGAGAAAAAAATACTATGATGAGCAACGTTTCTTTCCTTCTTACAGGCGCACAGCAAAGCACCTGATTTTCCCATTCTCACAGTAGGGCCACTTCTTTCTGGATATCAGCCCTAACCACACAACTCCACCCAGCACATCACCACGATGTGTTACTGACAACCTGAGAGAGACCAAAAAGCTCATATACTCTTCAGAATGAACCTGGCAAAGCCAGGACTGGGTTCTTGGAGCCATGCTGTCCTCCCTGCCCTCTGCAAGTCAGTTCCAGCTCCACCATGTGCAGCAAGTCTGCATGGCTCTTGACCATGGAGACTTTGGCAGCATCTCTATCAGCAGTGAGGTTCTGCAGCACAGACTGGTGGAACAGTCCAGCTGTTGCTGCTTCACCAACTGGATTGTGCCAGCTCTTCCAGAACCTTGATATCAAAGCAAATCAAGACAAAATAGCTGGAAGAAAAGCCATTCTTCAGCCTGAATATCCTATCTTAGGCTTGTAACAATTCAAACCTTTACAGCTCCCCTGAAAGACAAGGGCAGGACACACAATAGTCTCCTCTCCCTCACGTTCTGCTAACAGAACCCAGAGAATGCTGTTAGTATATCAAGAGCTTCCTCTTATTAAAGCCAGAGGAACAGACAAAAGGATTTCAATGGGAAAAGATCAAGCCACAGCTGGCGGGATGGAAGAGCAGGAGGGAGGATGGATATGGATGTTCCCGTGTCAGTCAAAGCCCTGATGGGCACAAAGAACATTCCCATCCTTTTTGTCCCTGCTGCCGTGAGTGCTGCTGCTCTGCTCCATGGCAGCAAATAGCAAAGATGAGCTGAAGGCATCCATCCCCAGCTGATCAGCATCTGCCAGCCATTAAAAGAAAACCAGTGGAGGTTTGGGGCTTGTGTAGTTTTCCTATCCCCGAGCAATCTGGAAAGAGGAAGAGGTCTTACTATGGCAGTGAGCACAATTCACTGCTGCAGACAAGCACAGTCCACAACAAGCCACCATATCCATACGCTGATGCAGAGACTTCCAAAATAGCCCTGGAAACACCAGCAATGCTACGAGTACCCCACACATATCACAGGACCCCCAGAGAATCAATAGGTAGCAAAACCTGTGTGAATTTTCCCCTTGAGCCCCTTGCATTGCTCCCAGCTGTGGCTCGGTACAGTTTTCCCTTATTTACGTAAAGCTGCTTCTAAAGTTTCAGTATTTTTCTTAATTTCAATTTATACTTTTCTACAGCATAAATTTAAAAGAGAAAAATGGCGTCAGGCTGGGCATCCACAAAGAGCTAGAAACAATATCAAAAAGCAAACACATTACCCAATTTCCCCCCCAAATCCACGGTGTAAAAACACCCAGCAAACCATAAAAACGTTTCCTCTTGGCAGGGCTGCAGCTCTGTAATGCTTTAATCGCCTGTGGGGAACCACACGTTTCCTTGCAGTGAAGTGCTGAGCACATTTGAAGAAATGAGTTCCAGCCCTGGCTGCAGCAGTCCAGCTGCTTGGCATCCAAGCTCCTGGTCTGGGAGTTGGACATCCTCCCTTGGATCTTTTTGGGCTCCCCACTTGCCCTGCCAGCAAATGAGGTTTCAATGGGAGTTCCAGGAGCTCACGCAAAGCAGCGTTCAAAGCTGGATTTCACACAGATGTGCCCCAGCCTTCAGGCTTGCTACTGCATCTCAGGGCTGATGGAAGCCAAAGAGGAAGAGCCATTTTTCTTTCTTTTTTAATTGCTATGATTATTACGAAATAAAGAAGTTTAGGAGCAATGGCACTCTTGAAGATACCCATGAGAACACCTGACTTTTGGGGAAGGATTTGTACAAGGAAGGATTTAGGCTTTGAAGTATAGCGTACAGTCTGTAAATGGAGCATTAACTTCCAGGAGCTTTCAGGGCTCCAAGGTTTTAATACATGCAGAAGAAATAATCCCCGGGATGTCAGAGAGGCAACAGCAGCTGGACACAGGATCTCAGTAGGGTCCATTGAAGTTGGTCTATCAATACACGACATCAAACTGCCACATGTACCTCTTTTTCCTGGGTAAAGGTTTCTGATGATAGCAGGGATTAGCTGCACAAAGCACCAAATCTTATATTTTAAAGCCAAGGCATGAAACTGAAAGCAGGTTTGATAGGCAGCTTTTGGGGGCTTTTTCAGAGCCGTGATTTTTATCTCTTGCTGCTTGAAGTTTAATTGGGTCCCTGTCCCTGGTTTTCTATTCCTCTGTTCCAGCAGCACAGGAAAGATCCAAACCCTGAGAGCAGAAGGCTTTTTATGCACACAAGTGATTAGAAAGACATTGGTACGTATTAAAATCTTAAAGCCAGCCCCTTAGGACAGCCACAGGCACAAACAGAGCACAAAAGCTCCATGTACCTTCATATCTAAGGGTCTCCTGACACTATGTCAGAAGAAAATGCATTTATTTGGTAAAGAAAACAAAACATGCCATCAAGCAAGCTCAGTGCTGTCAGCTGCCTGCTTCAAGCACTTCTCAACCAATGTTATCTTGGCCATTCCCATCCTGCCCTTCCCATCCCCTTCTTCAAAGGACCACGGTACAAATCAAGACAAAACAGATTAATGCTTAACTCCAAATATCAGATCCCCCGTGGGAAGAAAGATAAAAACAGTGCTTCCCTTTAAACTAACGACTAAATGGTCTCTTTGGGGATTAAAGGGATCTTAGCACCAGGAGGATAAATAGTTTTTAGCAAACATTGTGTAAATCACAATTGGGGAGAAGAAGGAAACAAGAGAGTGGGGGTGGCTTGGAGCTTCCCCAGCCTTTTAGGGACTGGCTTACCAGGAAGGAGCAGAGGAAGATGAACGACACGAAGTAGAAATAGGCGAAGTCGCTGCCGCATTCGTTCTTGGTGAGGCCAGAGAGCGGGTCGCAGGCCCTGCTGCTCAGGCATGACAGCATGATCTCATGCCAGGCTTCCCCTGTGGCACTCCTGTGGACAAATAGGCAGAAGGGTGTGAGCTCATCCCCACCTGTTAACCAAGGTAATTAGGAGGAGGTGTGCGCCCAGGTGGAGAGAGATATATTTGCATGAAGAGCCCGAGCTGCCAACCTGCTGTCATGAGAAATAAAGGAGAATAATTCTGTCTGATGCATGGAGGTCAAGGAAAAGAAACAGGCTCAGGTAAGTCAAGTTAGGTTGGTTTCAGGGAGGATAAGATCACACTGATTTAAACAAGTCAACAGCAACATGGAAATGTGAACAGATGCAGTTTGCATTGCCCCCTTTTGAAGCACCTGATGTTTCTGTCCTAGCATTGGCTGCAAGCCCAGCTGAGATGCTGGGAAACAAATGCAGCCTCCTCCACTGGAATCCCTCATTTCTCTTGTCAGAAGGTGCAGAAGCACCAGGAAAGTCTGACTGGTCACAGGATCCAGCCTCCCAGGTTTTCTCCATCCTTTCCCTTCTCCCATTTTGGGTATGAAAGCTGAAATAGCAGATAGGTGTAACCCAAATAAATCCTAACTTCTCCCTTTCACTGTGGGGATAAAAAGTCATCAAAAGGAAAACAGCGGCAGTCCCAGAATGTCCATCCTCAAAAGAAACCAACCCCAGCAACACACATGCATGGATCAGAGGCAGGGAGATCCTCATGTTTGCTGATGTCAGCTTTTCACATAACCTCACGTTTTCCCCCAGTAACTTCTGCACCTTTAGGGCAACCCCACAGCTTCCTATAGAGCTCAGCCCGTTGCAGTGCTGCTCACAGCTACACAAAGTGGGTGCAAAGCTTTTCATCCTGCCACTGAGACTTCAGATCTGAAAAACACCCTTACAATCACACAAGATGTGAAACCACTTCCAAACACAATGAATTGCAGTGAGCAGCAGCATCGGGCAAAGACCCTGGGCTGAGTCTGGGATATAGGAATCCTTATTTACCCCACAGTAACAGCAATGGGAGGCAAAAATTGGGATACTGAGCCAGGCCATAAGCCTCGCTCCTGTGCTCTGGGATGATCTGGTGCTCAGTGCAAAATGAAACAGCTCCTAGATCACTCTGGTTTGTACAGCATAAGATATCAGCAGCATTTAGTCCTTAAACCTCACTCCCTCATGCAGAAACCTGCTTCCCATCACAGTCCTGCTGCCTCTGCCCACTCCCTCCCACTGTGTGGCATTCAGAGTTTTGGCTGCAGTGGCTATTCTGAGCTGGAGAACTGCATTTCTACTTGGCTTCACAGAAACTATGCAAACTCAGACCTATGCAGGATATCATTACCAGCACCAAGACACAAAGACTTTCTTGCTGCCCACCTGCAAGCCTTGTGGCATTCAGTATCAGCTTACCTGAACAGAAGCATCAGGGCTTGAAGGAAGGTACGGAAATTATTGTGCCGATTGATGGAGGTTTCATCATTTAGTGCAATGTTTCCAAATACCTGCCACAGAAAGCAGAAGGGGTTCAGGGCAAATGCAGCCTGCTGTAGAATTACGTGGGAGTCATGAGCATAGGAGAAAAGGTAGGAAAAGGATTTGCCCTTCTTCAAGGCAGACAGAAATGTGTTGTGAAGAACAAATGGTGGAAAAAAATCAGATTAATGTTCTTCATCTTCGTGCTGACCTTCTCCAACACCACTTTTCAGCTCCACCGTAGGCCAAGAAAAGTTCCTCATCTCTGTTAGGGAGGGAGTGGTGCCCAAAGAGCTCATTGGGCACAGCCTTGTGCCCTGCTGTCACCCGCAGAGGGGTCCATCAGTAGGTACCCACAGAGCAGGACCAGGTCTGCAAGCCCACGCTCTCCCACTTTACACGTACACATTTGGCACTAGATTTAAGACTTGGCAGTAAGGATATAAGAGAATGGCCCCTTTTTGCTCTTCCAAATCCCCAACCACCAGGCAGGAGGTGCTGGTTTGCCTGATCCTGAGCCAGGTACTGATGCTGCTGCAGAGGAAACAGCACACCCTGTTCCCACGGGACAAAACCAGGCAAATACAGTCAGTATTAAAGCCAAAATTTTACCTGCATGCCAATAATGGCATAGATGAAGAAGAGCATTGCAATGAGAAGACACACGTAAGGCAAGGCCTGTGGGAAAGGAGAAGAAAGTATTAACATCACTAAACCTGTATTAGCATTTAATTCCTGGGCAGCACTGCACTCTGTAGCATTTGTCCTTCAGGTAAAGGAGCTGGGAAAAGAATTGGAACAATCCTGGAAGCCTTTGGCTGACGAAGCCCTGGAAGCAGGTATTCATCAATTACAAACCAGACTGTGTTTTCCAAGAGCTCTGTACGCATTCTTGCAGGCAGATAAGCAGTAACCAGGGAAAACACAGTAAGAAGCTCTGCAGCAGGCACTGGTGCTTCCTATGCATAATTGCACAGGGACAAACCTTAATTTTTAATGACCTTGCTATAAATTCAGTATGAGAAAACACATATAGCCAAGGAACGAGTTCCTGCTTTGAATTAGGCACAGACTGCACCCCAAGAGGGTAAAAAGGTTCTGAGTTTTCATGAGGAATCAGTGAGTGCTGCAACACAATTATATCGCATGAGCTGAGAATAACAGCTACTTTGCACTCAGGCTACATGAAGAAGTAATTAATACCTCTTAACTAGCAATAGTTGCAAAGATGCAAAGCCCCGCCCTGGGGCTACCATGGGAAGCCTGAAGTCAGGGCAGGGGTTATGCAGCCCATGGCCCAGGATTGATTGGTCTCTGCTGGGAATCTTTGCACATGAGCCAAAGAAGAGAGTGCAGCTTAGAGAGTGGACAAAGGATGGGCAGACAGACCCCACTGCAGCCAGACAGACCGCTGTGGCCCATCAGACCAACACCACCAGCCCAGGTGCTGCAGTCTCAGCCTTTGGGAGACATCAGATTCGTGTTCCCCTGTTTGTCTCCCTATTTGCAGAGGAGCAGAGCAGGACTGCAGGCTATGCCACGTGCAGTTTGTTAGTAGAAGGCACGTCTAGAACAACATACTTTGGTTTTGAATCATTACCAATGCACTAAGGACCTGGGACCTGCCCAAACTACTCAGAGACTGAGACTTGGCTGATTCCCCCTGTCTGATCCACCCAGAATTATACAGTCCAAGAACACTGTCCTGGGTGGGAACATTTCATATTCACAGACCCCACATCTCAGCCTCTGGTGGAGGCTCTTGGCTGCAGCAGACCTCATTAGTTACAAGATGGGAGCAGCAGACTCGTTACCTCCTCCACGCTTACAGAAAACGTGACTTAACAAATCTCATTGCTCGTGTCCTTTAAGGCACAGCATACTCACATCCCAGCCCCTTCCCATAAGTTATTTGATGGGTGAAAGTGTAATGTAGAAATTGCATGTGAGAGCACCAGTTGGCTCTCTTGGGGTCTCTCATGGGCAGAAAAGTGTAATATAGCACTCTCTCTGATCCTGGCCATGGGATGACAGCATGGATGCACCTAGTTCTTCTCCAGGCCACTTGTGGAAAGAAGCAATTTCTATGTTCCCATTTTTGCCCTCTTTTACAACTTCTGCCTCTAAGATTTAGCAGTTCTAAGAGAAACTTCCTGTCAACCAGCTCCAGCACTGAGCTATAGTCACGTCCATGTTCTGAGTGAATTTTGCTAATAGCAACAGCTTGGGTTTCTCTTCTATTCAGTTCCACCAAAACTGAGACACGTGGACAAATTGCTCTGGTTTAACATGTCACCACACCTCTGCTGACTGAGCACGTCTCTTAACCTGCACAACAGTGAGGTCAGACAAATTACCTTAAACCTGGCACTTGCTGCATGCAAACAGCAGGCATGAGGGCCCTCAGCAGTCACCCTGCATTTTCCTCACGCTAAAACAAGAGAAGGCTTTTCCATGAGGATTTTGTGGTGGTCTCAAGGACAACCTAAGCTTTGCACACCATTGTTCGTGCAAAATGAGCATTAGTGCAATTGTAGTGAGGAGATAGAGAGAAGAGGGGAGGTCTTTGATACTCGAAGGCTGATGCTGGAGAAGTGCAGAGCATCTCACACGCCTTCTCCCTGTCTCCCACAGGCCCAACACTCACCTTAAATGACTGCACAAACGTCCAGAGCAAGATGCGGATAGTGTAACCCTGGCGAAGGAGTTTGATAAGTCTTGCTGCCCTGAAGAGCCGCAGGAAGCTGAGGTTGATGAAGTTGTCCTGTGGAAAGTAAAGGTTTTGTGTCCTTCAGAAATTAACGCGATGAGAAACCACAGCCCGCAAAAAAGAAATTAAAATTACCAGCTTCACGATCTAAGCAGCAAATCGGCCACCAGAAAACCTTCCAAAAGAAACATTCGTCAGTGCAGATCACTCCACATGCAGCAAGTATGAGAAAATCCCTCTCCACAAGAGCCCTCCCCTCTATCCTGGGTCAGTGACAGAAAAGAAAATGGCCCTTTCACGCTGTCCATGGATGTCCTGTTTTCTTTGAGTAAGGCAGGTTTTCTCCCCTAAAGACTCAGGGAGAGGTAATGGTGCCATATTATCATTCTGTAAAGAATGAGATTGAAGTCTTGGTCAGCTTGCTTTTCTGCCATGAACTGAACTTCAACCAAGACAGCTGCGACAGACTGCGCACGTAGCCTCAACTATAATAGAGAAAGGCATTGCCCAGTGAAGATTAAAGCATCTTTGAAAAATAGGGATGTTTTCTAACCTGGAGATTTAAAGTATTTATATCCAACTTGTGACTGGACAGGCTCATCAAGGAGAAATGGCACCAGCAAGACTTTGGAAGATGGATCACTGGTAGCAAATTGGTTGGGGAGGTCGAGTGTACAGCAGCAGGCAGGTGCCTTAGGAGCCTGCTGATTTTCCCATTACTATTAAATGTGCTTTCACAGGTGGATCAAAGAACTGCTGGAGATGGGGTCTGATTTCCATGCGTTTTGTGGGATTCTCCCCACCCCACACCCCCATCTTTTCTTTCCTTTATGGAAAAGAGGTCGCTTGCCCCAGCGAGCTGATCTAGAGAGGGTTCTTTCCAAAACAAAACATGCAAAAGCCAGATCCCTCTTGCCCTCCTGTTTTAAGGAGATGAAAAATATCCCCGCACTCTGTACCTATTCCAATTCACTTGTTTGTGAATCTCTGATCACAGCCACTCATTTGACTGAGTTAACTGAAGAGAGAAAACAGCTCGCTTTCAACTGTCAAGCAGTGGAGGGGAAGACACCATCATAAGGAGCTTTTATTGGCAAAGATGAGCAAAGCCAGTCTTTCTCTCATATCATCATTTTAGCAGGAGACACCCAGTCATATTAAAGTGACCCACGTTTCTTGCTCATTTGGTGACAGAGCTCACGCTGAATTTGAGGGGGGGCTTGTTGGATCTATTCAATTATTTAAATGCCAGCTCATTTTTGGGCCATTAGCATTGCATTCCACCAATCCCATCAAAGAGTTCAAGAAATCATGCATGCACTTGGTTTCTCTCATGTTAAAAAGGCAAGCAGCTCAGAGTTAGGCACAGACCATATATCAGACTTAATCCTCAAATAAAGAGAAAAGAGTAAATCACAGGTATGTTCCATGAAAGAGCAGACAACACCGAGCTCATTCAAGTCAGCAACAGAAAGCAGCTCTGGCAGGCAAAACACAAGCAAGGATTCCCCTGGGTTGGTCAAGGTCGGTAGAACAGGTGCTAAAATCCAGCACCTGTCTCTTAGCATCAGCATCTGTTTTATTTTTATTGCATTGGTTGCAGTCCCTTCACAACATACTGGTTGAACTCACCTTGGGTAAGAGCCAGGGACAGAGTGTGGCTGCGTGACTGAGGTGCCACCAGCAGCCTGGTCCTTACTGTCCTGATGGGGTGCATCCAGACCAGGGCTGAGGCTTAACCCAGAGCCCACTGCAGTCCCAGGAATTTTTCTCACCTGCAGGAACTGCATCAGGCCTTATGGGATCCCATTCGTGGCACTATTTCAAGTCAGGCAAATCATAGAGCACCACTGGAGCTTGATCTTCCCCACCACAAGTCTAAGGCTCCTCCAAGGAGCATGCACACAGGCAGCATCTGCAGGATCTGGCTCTCTGTGTGTTGCTGCCTTACTTCCTTCTTCCCACATTAACATAGTTTACCACCAAAGCTTTACTCTGCTCAGATTTTGCTCTAATCTCCTATCATGATTAGCATGATGCCCCACGCCTGCTTTGGTCACACTTCACACAGGACATCCCTGTGCCAACTGACACTTTCTACATGACAGTTTTTTTTAAGCAGTACAAAATGGGGGCTTCAAAACTGTCTATGCACGTCTACAGATTTCCACTGCTTTTTGTTCTCCCAGCTTCAAATCTTCCCTTTTTGATTCAAGCACCGCCGTTTTTCTAAAGAGCAACGAAAGCTTCAGCTCCACAGGGAAACCTTTGCAACCCAGGAAAATCCAGCATCACTCGTGTGCACAGAACTTGCAAAGAGGCAAAATCACACAGGCCTGTGACAGGCAGGAGGGCTTCACATGTAACCCTCAGCACACCGCATAGAAAACCCATCCTTGGGCTGCTCAGCCCTCCAGGCACTATCAGAATGGCATGCAGTTAAAGGGGAAACTCCACATTGCGATATTTCTCGTGGGTAGCAGTGTTTTGCACGGATTCCCCACCCGTTTAGCCACCCCTGTGCAGCACGTGGCACACACATGATTGTCCTCTGGATCACCAGGGTCTGTCTTCCCAGAGTTTTGTTTGTGTTTCTGTTGCACAGATGTTAAAGGCCGCTGGGCGCTCACGTGAGGCATCGCTGTTCAATGATTCTGTGATCCATCTGAGGACCAGCCAACTGTGCTTGAAATAAGTTTCCTTCTGGCCTGTTGCTATTACCCCAAAAGAGGAGGCGGATGGGGCTCTGGTGCAGAGGGCATCAAGAGACCCACGTGGGTCTGCAATGCCTCCCCAGAGCTCACTGAAAGCAGGAGGAGAGGAGAGAGTGGGGAGAAGAGCCATCATAGGGACAGAACTGGCCTTGACTGCTGCCCAGCCATGTGCAGACAGCTCCTTTATCCTTTCTTAGGGTGTTTTCCATAGCAAAAAGCAGAAAAAAACATGCTGGGCAGGGTGTACAGCCATTGCCTGGATCTATTTCTCCAGCATCTCCTGGATTGTTTTTCTCCTTGATACAGGATCTGTGCTTGCTGTCCAGAGAAATGCAGAAGGGGCTCTGCAGCAAAGCACCGCCTCAGCAGATTTATTCTTTTGGATTTTTAAACCTGAGGTGGGAATGAGTTTGTCATGTTACAGCTGGAGGATTCAGCAGAGGGGGTTTCTCAATGCTGTCTCACAGCAATGAACTCAGCAGAAGCTGGGCTGGTCATCCCCACATGTATGGCTGCCCAGCTGAGGGCACGACACAAAACAGCATCATGGATCCTCATTTTTCTGTCGGCAGAACAAGAAGCTCACCCCAAGTGGCCAAGCCACCACAGAGGCATGGAAAGGGGAATCCAATCAGCCCAAGAACTCAGGAAAATTTGGCAGTTCTCACACGGTTGCAAGAATTAATCTGTGCTGCTAAGGAACAGCAGCAGCTCAGCACTGCAAAAATGGAACCCTTGCCTTGGACACCAAGCAATAGAAGGAGCCTGGATCTGGGCACACGATCACAGAGGCTGCAATCTAATGACTGCAGGACGAATGTTTAAATCTTTAATTCGCTACACCGGCATGCCAAAATTTGGCATGTCCATTTCTCAGATGGAGAAATGGAGGCAAGTTGATTTTTCTAGTATATAATCATGTGAGCAAGCGGATGTCAGAGCAGTTCTCAGTGCTGCTTGGGCCAAGGGAGCCAAAATTTAATCTCCTAGAGCTGTCCTCACAGCTCCTACATATCAGCAGTGGTTCCAGCCCATGGTGCAGTGCAAACCTCTAACTCACACAGCTCTGTATCTGTGTTTGCTGTTCACTAGCAAAAAGTTTCCTCCTGGAACCTCTCTTAGGCAAGCACCGAGGCTGCTGCAGGTTATCAGAAAGACTCACACTCATTGGTTTGTGAGCAGCAAATGTGCAACAGAAAGACCAGATGTAAGTTGAAGCAGATCTGAGAGCAGCTGCAAAGCAACCGAGACTTTTTGGTAATCTCATGGCCTCATTTATGTTATTCTTAATTGTGGCCAAGATAATTAACAATAGAATAATATTATTTTTAATAATATTTCCAAACACAAAGCCTCCTATTTCCAAAGACACCTCTGGAATCAGGCACTATAATTCCTAATGGGATCTGGTGCCCAGTACTTCTTTTCACAGATTGGCTTCTGCAGTTCACATGAGATGTTTGCTCCTGCATCCAGGCACTCATTGCCTGCTGCAGTGGCACCATGCTTCTACATGCCTGTACCACAGAGTTTTCAAAGTTGAATAAAAAACAATCTTTCCCACAGTTTCTCCTGATTCGAGAGAAGCAATTCCATAACGGCTTTAATAATTTTCTTTTTTTGTGCCTTACAATAACCACAGGCTTAGAAATACTTGCAAGGCCGTCCTCTCTGACATTCTACTCAATGCATCTCATCCAAAGGAAAATAACAACAGCTTCTGAGAACTGAATTTGGTGCCACTCTTTACAAACGGAAGGCTTTCCCATACAGGCCACCCAGAAGCATCCTTTCCTCTCACCCTCATTTGATTTCCCATGAAAATAAAGCAAGTGGAAGTCTCCCCTTTATCAGTGTTGGGTGTAACGAACAGAGGAGAACGGGCTATTGGTAACTGCATTTGCCTCACGTCACCAATTAGCCAAGGGGAAGAAGATGCAGAACAGAAGCCAGTTTTGAGGCACGCTGCAGTGAGGCTTTTTCACCAGTGCAATCGGAAATCTCATCAAAACAAATCAAATCAAAGAAAAACGAGAGAAAATAAAAGCAGAGAATTTAAAGAATTGTTTAAATTCAATGAAACCAACCGTGTCCTATATGTGATGTTTTCATGGATGGATATTGGCAAGATTATTTACAAATTATTATTTTTTTTTTGAGCAGCAGGTGCACAACATACAGACGGAGACATGGTTTTCGCATTGTATGTTGATTGGATGGCGTGATTCAGCAGGTAGATAAGGAAAATAAAGGACAAAACAGGAAACAAAAGAGAAAATGAGTAATCAGGACAAGCAAAAAAGGAAACTCTGAAAATTTCACTGGAAAAAAACTGTCAGGCTTTTGGGGGGTGTTATCTTTATGGTAATTATATAAATTAAAGAATGCTTCAAACCAAAAGAGGCTCTGAGATCCTAAAGGTAACACGGACAGTGCAGTCGTTATTTGCATTTCTTTCTGTAATGCAAATCGGGAGACAATTCACAAACACTTCTCACGACGCTTTTTGTATTTCCAGGCACAGAAATAGATGTCAGTTTGCCATACACCCCTTGGGCTTCCTGGGGCCAGCCGTGGCCACAAGGAAGAGCTTCTCCTTAATGCCACCTCTTTGCTGTTTTACTTCAGTTACTGAGAGGGCTAAAAAACTGACATGCATGTTTTTGCCTAAGGAAATAAAAAAATTATACGTATATTCCACTGCATTCACAAAGTAAATTACGTATGACACGGTTATCAAAGTAAAACAAAGCAATTAGTCAACACATTTCTTTTCCTTTTATCTTTAGTTTTCAGTGGATCAAAGTACCGACGTAGCAAGGCTGGTGGAAGCCAAGTCTCTCAAGGTGAGACCGCCCAGGTGAGCAGGGTCAGTTGCTTCGGAGGACACTGACAGTTGGAAAAATACAGATCACCATGTAGGAAATCGGTGCTCCTGCATCTATTTGCTAGCCTGACGTCAAAACCAAAAGATGTTCCTGTCCGTGGCAAGGGGGTGGGACTAGATGATCTCCAGAGGTCTCTTCCAATCCAAACCATTCTGTGGATTCGCCACAAGGATGGCGAAGCGCTGTTTATTTTGGGAATGGATCCACGTAACCGGTGGCATCAACGTTCTGACCATCACCTGGGCTTCCCTCAGTCTGAGAAACCTTGAGATGTAAATGGACAACTGCAGGGTGAACACATGGGGCAGGGCTGCCTGCCACCCCAATACCTGCACGGCCGCCTATCAGGCAAGGAGAGAAGAGAGCGTCTCGCGGTGGCTCTGGGTCGCGGCCAGTAAAGACCTGATCACTCTGGTGACTCTCAGCTCTGGGACACAGTGCAGAGCTGCTGTATTTCCAAGCAGCAAAAAATTGTGCTTGTGCTTCCCAGGCGGCTCTGGGGCACCTTGGGCTTCCCAAAATGGCACAGGTCAGAGCTGCACATCCTGTTAATTACTGTGGGACCTGAGCAGCACTGCCTCATCTTTCTGTTCATCTTCCAGACTGGGTCCCATCAGCATCCTTGGGCCTGGGGGCGGAGGAAGGGTGGCACTGGAGGGCATGATATAGTTCTACCTACAATATGTGCCCCCGGATGAGGCAAGCACTCTGTGACAATCAGCCTGAAAGCTGCAATTATTTGCTGCCATTAACAGTTGTGTTATAAACATAATCTTTGGGGCACTGCTGCAAGTTCTCACTTGAATAGTTCAGCAGCAATTCAGTGCTTCAATGTCACCTTTAAGCTAAATAAGTTCCTTCCTCATTCCTCTTCAGTACGCTGCTCACGATGCATTTGAACTCCCAGCCCATTGCCCTGGCTGAGGCTCAGCGATGGATGCACACAGCTTAAAAAATAGCACACTGGTGGCTACAGCAGTTATTCAGTGCAGGTGGGTGTGCTGCTGCAGACAAGCATGGGCTGGGGAGAGATCAGAGAAGCACCATATGAAAGAAGTTTTGAGAAACAAGTCTAGCAAGAAGGCAAGGGGACCTCCAGGTACTCTGCGGGGGGAAGCATGTGGGCAGGAGACACATTGGCTGTGCAGAAATGCTGAAGAAAGGCGAGACAGAGAGAGAGCAAAGCTCTAATTAGAACCTCTAATTAACTGAGAGGCAGCACTGAGAGGTAAGGGGCTGGAAAGGCAGCAGGGTTTATATGAAAGATGTTGTGAACAGCTACATGTTGGATGCTCTGGTGAACTCCATCATGTAGTCCTCCCCAAGGCTGGCTTGGTGGACATAATGAGTCAAACTAGGACTCTCAATTATCACGTGGGAGGATAAGAGAAAGGTGTATAGATGCTGGCGAGCCTAACTCTATTGGATTTTGCTGTTTTAGAGATAATTCCTACTCCTCTTAGAGGCATCCCTGAATCGCTGCAGTCCTTGATGCTGAGAACCAGAGAAACCAGAGCAGAGCAGAAGATGATGCAGCTGCTGCAGCACCACCAAGACTGCATCAGTGATGCCCACATGGGGATTTGGGAGCACATTTACCCTCCAGCCTGAAGACCAGGAGAAGATAGGGAACTTCTATGCACTAGTTCTTATTCCTTCTCTTCCCAAAGGAGCATTTACCAAATTCTGAGACCATTGCCTCAAGTTCACTGTGCTGCTCTTCCCTCCTGGTAACATCAGCCAAAAGATGGTTTGAAAGGAAATATTAATCTCTGTGGCTGACGTGCAAGATTTTCAAACCAAAGCAAAGGTTTGGTTCCCATCAGGAGACCATCAGAGCAAGTTCCACTGCAGAAAGAATGCAGGCAGGCATTCAGTGCCTGCCCACAGCACTGCAAATCTTCCAAGCTCTCAGAGGTGGCTTGATCTAAATGATTCTACCCTGTGTACTAAGAACAAAAGGTAATGCAAAAGTTTATGATATTTGTCAACTGTTCAATGAATACCATTTGTAAAGGGAGCAAAAGGCTTTATTTTTCCTGTGTTTTCTGTACCAGTGTTGTTAGATAATAGTATATTTTGTCAGAAACAGTAATATGGTCTTCAGCACCAGCTGAATGTCCTGTAAAGAAGCCTGGCGACCACAGTACTTAGCACACACAAAACAGGTTCTATAAGCAAAACTCAGGAACTGAGAAGAAAAAAGTGTGGTAAAATTCAAATCCATTACATACAGAGATAGCATCATCAACTAAAGCATGCATTGGGAGAGGAAAGGAGCACATTTTTAAACTGGATAACATCAGATTGCCAAAGCTTCTGTCAGTTATTTGCTGCCCTTATGGAAAAATCCTCTGGAATTTAATGGCAAGTTTGTGCACTTAATGTAATCTCCAGGACTCTTGAGCAGGGAGACTGAGGACATGGAAATGGGTGGCCAACGAATACTATGGTACAGTGACACCTTATTTTTATTTTTTTATTGGTAATTGCCTTGCAGAACTTTTGTGTGAGGAACAGAAACCAAAGTTCCCCCAGGGCAGACCGTGCAGGCTGATGAGCTTCTGGCTGGGTTTACGTTCCTGTGCTCTCTCCTCTCATCTCCTTCTCCCTGCTCAATACGGGCTGGGATCCCCAGAAAACAGACATGATATTGGGGAATGCCCTGCAAGGCACCTCACTCTACAAGCCAGCAGCTTTCATTAGACTCCTTCTGACATTGTCCCTCTATTAAATTCAACAGGATTTTTCCATTAATGGGCAAAAACAGCTCGGGGTCAGAGCCTTTTGCTGAATGAGAAGGAGAGCCTGCTTCCTGACAGTCATCAGCACCATCAATCTCATCAGAGCTTTTGGCATGAAAGTCTTTGGGCCAGACAGCATCTCTGTGCAGAGAGCAGAGCTGATGGAAGCAGGCTGCCAGGTCACCCAAGGACTTCAGCTACCGTAGGGCTGGTAGGGAGAAGGGGCAGTGTCCTGACAGGGTACAGCTTTGTGGGTAAATGAAGAATATTGAGCAAACTGTACTTACCGCAATCTCTGTTACTAAAATATCAGTAATACTTCCCAACACTGTTACAAAATCAAAGACATTCCAGGCATCTCGGAAATAGTTCTGTCAAATGAGAACACAAGGGGATAGGGAGATACAGGGGTTATCATCTCTTTGCAAGACAATTTCTTCGGTTGTTTGCTTGCTTTTAAATCATGAAATACAAGTGTTTTAAGTGGAGAGGGAACAGCTGAAAGCAAATGAGGAAGGCACATACCAGCACACCAAAGGCAATGATCTTCAGCACACACTCCATTGAAAACATGGATGTAAAGACAATATTCAGGCATTTCAACATTTCTTCGTATGCTTCTGGAGCATCATAGAACTAAATGAGGATGGAAGGAAGGCTGTTACTGGAAATCATTTATGATGGCAGAGTAAAACCTTCCCAGCTGACTCAACTGACTGCAAGGAGTTAGAGCATCCCCAAGGAGCGAACCCACTTTGTGCAGGCTGAACCAGGAGCTGCAGAACTCCAGAGCCTAGTTCCAATTCACCGCGCCTCATCACAACCAAACCACCTCCCTCTGGGGATGGATGCAATCCCACATGGCCTCTAAAAATCATGAGGAAGATGAGGAAGAAGTGATAGTTGACCCTGCCAACTCACTCAGCTCTCGTGTTGCGAGCATAAAACCTCTACAGCAAACACCACGTTTTCTAGCCCATAATTGCAAAGATTCAGTAACAGCTCACTAACCTTCATCATGAGAACAATAGTATTGAGTGCAATCATGACCATGATAAAATACTCAAAGGGAGGGGACACCACGAATTTCCACATCTTGTACTGAAATGACTGCTTGTTCTGAGGCATGTAGCGGGTCAGCGGCTTGGCACTTATGGCGAAGTCAATGCAGGCCCTCTACAAAACAAAAACGGAGTGAAAAGAATACAAAAAAGGGCTGGCAGTTCAATCAGTCAGAGTATTGCTGGCAGTAGAGCATTTACTGGAGGATGGTACCTTTAAGCATTTCTTACACGTGATGCAAGTAGTGATTACTGCTGTAAAATGCAGCCCATCATCCCCACATTGTGGTCACTTCTCAACCCTGATGGATCTACTAAACCCCTACAGAATTATAGTCCCCCCCACAACCTAGGAGATGGCCTTGCATCACTCAGCAGGTCCCAGTCCCTTACTGCTTAAAGAAATGAGTTTTGAATTCATGGGCTCACTTCAGAAAGCACTTGGCTAATTCCTCCTGACGAAGAACTCCAGAAAATTGAGGGTTAATGAAGATGCTATTTGTGTTTTAAAAAAGTATTATGAAGCTCAGTTCTGTTCTAGCACACAACCAGGTAATAACTTCTTTGAAAAGCGAACCAAACTCAACCAACAAATTACCCAACAAATATTAATGGGTGAACCCTCAAAGATATCTCTAGTTGAAAATTTCTACAAGAAGGAAAGTGCATTAAAATGGTGTCAATTCTGAAACAATTTCTCATGCATGATTGAGATAAAAATTCAAAACCTCAAAGTCTGTCATACCGAAAATCTCAGCTGGAAAAAAAAGTGAGTAAATCATGTCTAAATATTCCACTTTATTTTGGACTTTTTGTTCAAACAGACATACAGTTGAAACACTGTAGAATTGATTAAAAGCAATCTCTTTTAATCAAAAATTAGGTTCCAGTTTCACAGTTTTTGAAGGAAAAGAGGGGTTGTTTTTTTTTGGAACCGCAGGCAGACCAGACAAAGGATTTTACAAATACTAAAATTCCACCTGGGTTCGTGAAGAAACTGGATACCCTCATGGAAGAACAATACAGAGCTGCTGCTAACTACAGCGAGACCACATCTAACAAGGTTCCTTTGTTGGAAGCAGTGCTGCTTGCTAGAGTGCAGAAGGAAAGCATTGCACGTGCTTGCGCTGTTCTCACGCTCCTCCTAAGACATCGTTTGGCTGCTGCAGGAGGACTCTGTCTGAGCCAAGCAAAAACAGGCTGGTAAGGGCAACTTTCCACTGGGGAGCAGCAGCAACTTTCCCTTTGATTTCTGATGAGCAGCCACTGAAATGCCAAACACTTTTGCACATACACACTTGAGCTCAGAATCAGCACCATCTCCGCTCTGCAGCAGAGGTGTGATCCACAGGGATACGGGACACTGCCTAGCTAAAGTGCAGCATTCGGGGACTGCCCCTGGTTTTGTTTTTATGCAAAAGCCTGCCAGAGAAAGTCTGTAAGGGGACTGATGTCTATAGCCTCTAAGCCTTGCATTCAGCACACCACACCACGTGTTCTAAAGCCCCTCCTGGTGCAGCAGGGATGAAGAGGTTGTCCCCTCAGCATCAAAGTGCTCTGAATCCCCAAGGTGCCACCTCCCGCAGCTGCTCAATCCAGAAGATGTGGGTACCTCATTTTTCTCTAGGCTGCATTCTGACATCACTTTATCTCCTTGCTCTTGGAAGGTGATTATGATTAACGCCACAAAGATGTTCACAAAGAAAAAAGGGAAGACAACAAAATACACCACGTAAAAGATAGACATTTCCATTCGGTAGCCAGGGCTGGGACCCTGTTCCTCGTAGGTAGCATCCACTGAGTGCTTCAGCACACTGCAAGCAAGCGCAAAGAGAGAAGAAAAGTCAATGAAATCACTGTGAAGCACCAATGATACTGTGATAGTCATTCACCGGCCTTCACTTGCATGGAGGGTTTTCCACATATGCTCAGGTCAAACCTGTTTCCATCACTGTGATTAGGAAGAAGTTTTCCTTGAGGATATTTTTAGGGAAACCCTCTCTGTTTCCAACATTCTGATGAATGGTGGCAATTTACTACGCACAGATCCACATATCCACCCTGAGCAAGGGGGGGGGAGAGGATATAGATAGATCTGGCTTCTCTTCTGCTCCGGTCAATATGAATGAAATAAGAGTGGAAAAAAAGGTATTGATGGCCTTCGAGTACCCAGGGGAAGGTAAGGGTTTGAAGAGTTGAGACTGATGCTGGTTTAATCTTTATTTTACTGAATAGCTGAATGTGGAGGACAGCAAAGTCTGGCCACATAGAGATCCCTAATCATGAATCTGTGTGTCCCAGCAGAAATGTCTGCCAAAATAAAGTCATATCTTGAACAATACATACAGTCTGGGGGCTCAAATATCCAATACACGTTCAGCTTGAGCGCAATGCTTTTCCCCCTCCTTTTCTTACATCTCCATGATAAATTGTGCACCTAAGGAAGGCGTGCATGTCCAAGAGAAAAATGCCTAAGCATCAGTGTACTGAGAATGCTTCTCACTGACTCATTCTATATTCATGCCAGGGAAAGTTAAATCTTGGCTGACTATTCTTCTTTCCCATGCCACTTGTTCTGTACATATCCCTGAGCCACAGAACGCTGCTGCTACCTCTGACCAAAAGCTGGTGGTCCCTGCCTGCCCCATGTACTCACGTTGGCCACCCTTCTCCTGTGGAGACAGTGAAAAGTGTCAGCAGAGCCCACAGCACGTTGTCGTAATGGAACTCGTATTTTTTCCATTCTCTGGGCTGCGCCTCCACCTCATTTTTTTCATAGTCAAGGTACTGACCCCTAGGAACAACAGAGATTCAGATCAAATGGGAGAATTAAACCAAATCAGTCGTGGTATAACTCAGTGAGAGCATTGGAAAGCCCTGGTAACAGACTCCAGCCATACAGAGCCAAGAAACAGCCCCAACGTTTGTAGAATCCCAGAATGGTTTGGGTTGGAAGGGACCTTAAAGCCCTTCTAGTTCCAACCTCTGCCATGAGAAGGGACACCTCCCACTTGGTCAAGTTGTTAAAACGTAGGTAATATAAGTAAAGGCTAGAGGAGCCTTAGGACCAAGCCTGAGCTTTAACAAGGAAATAAACCTCTACAGTGCATTGGGCAAAGCTGGCAGCTAACATCATGGTGACCCCCAAAACGTCTGACCTCACAGGAAACTGTGCTGACTGATGGGAAGCAGTCTTTGATTCCTACTTGAAAGCTGTATCTAACTTTTGGTCCTGATTTGAGTGTCAGAGGTTCAGACTCAACATCTGGAGAGTTCTCCTCCACCCTTAATTCTTCTATAATTGCAATTATTCTGCAATGCATCCGCTTTGCTGCAAAGCAGAGTTGCATGGAGAGCCCTATGGTATGTGGATGGCAGCAGAGAGTGATGCAGGTGAGCAGAAAGAGACAGTGCTTGTCTTGGGGGCCAAGGAAAACATCCATAGGGGGAGCAAGCACCTCCACAGTCTGCTGCAAATGATAAAGTATGATAGAGCTTTTGTAACAGTCAAATGCAGTCCCTTTTCCTAGCTAACTGGAGATCTTTAACTCTCTACTGATTCTCTTTTGATTATTTATTCATTCTGTTCTCTTAATTTGTGCAAGCTCTGAGGATAAAGGCAGCAGGTAGAAAGAGTAATCATGCCACCCCTTCCAAACCACTTCTGTGCTTTATCTTGAATTCATACCCAGTCCTAAATGGAAGAAGGAACCTTTTCCCCTAAACCGTTAGCCACTTGAGTAATCACTTACTAGCTAAGAGTAGGAATGGAGAAGTCATATAAAAAAAGCAAAAGGGAAAATTCACCTCTAAGAAGTCTCTCTCCTTACAGGAGCCCTCACCAAGCCCAAGTGATGCAGCTCCTGGACAGCCATGGGAACCCACAGCCCCTGCTCCTGCCATACCTGCAATCCTTCTCCAGCTCTTTCGACTCATCGGTGCAGTAGAAGAATCTGCCTTTGAAGAGCTGCACAGCAATGACAGCAAAGATGAACATGAAGAGCATATAAACAATGAGGATGTTGAGGACGTTCTTCAGGGAATTCACCACGCAGTCAAAGACAGCCTGGGGACAACAAGACAACGAGGTCAAGGGGCCAGAAGAAAGGCAAAGTGCATTACCCTGGCATCTGGCATTGGCCCACACGGGAGAGCAGTTACTCAACAGCTAAACCCATGTGTGCTTTCATTGGCTTGCACACCGACTGTTTGGTAGGAGAAAACATTGGCTCCCAACTCCTGCTCGCTTGATGGGTTTGGCGTGCCACTAAGTTGGTTTTTTTTTTTGGTGCTGCCCACAAAATCAAGAAATACCAGCCCTAAGCTAATATTCCCATGGCAAATTATGAAATGAAAAACGACCATCCATAATGGACTGGGAAAAAACTCATGAAATCTGCCACTCATTGGCCGTTATGTGAACTGTTTGAATAATAAGGAAAACACACCAGATGCAAAACAACCAAATCCTCTGAACAGCAGTGAAGTGTCTATCAAAGTTAAGTATGAATAACCTAGTGAGCATGTGTCACTTCTGAACTCTCTGTGAATAACTTCTCATACATTTATTTTTTGGTTATTAGTCACCGATTCATTGTTACAAGTGATTTGCAACTTCATTTGAGTCTGAGGAGTTTGTCATAATTACAGAAATGGAGCTGTGCTGCTGCCTGAGCACAGGGCTTGTACTATGCTGTTTCTGTTTCTCTGAATGGAAGTGAATAATTCCCAGAATTATGCTCCTAATGCAACACAGAAACCCAAAATTAAAACACTGGAAGTATCTCTAATCACTCTATTAATCTTGCTGATTGTTGTGTACAAGATCTCATCCAGGAAAAAAATGGAAAAGAGTTTTGAAGACAAGCCATGTGAATCTGACTTCTGCTTCACAAAGATTTCTGAATACTTCTTTAGAAATGGTAAAATTACTCTGTAAAATGACTTGGAAGTAAGGAAGTCATTCAACAGAGAGCGAATGCTTTGCAATCTGCAGTAAGACAGAGCTGCTCTTGACTGCTGCATGACCCAAGCATTGTGCATTTCAGATTTCCAAACAAATAAAGAGCATTTTCTACATTGTTCACCACCACGCTTCCTTATCTCGGGAGGTAAATTTAGTGCACATGAAAATGCATGAAATGAAAATTATTTAGGCATGAATTGCGGGTAAGGACAAAGGCAAATCTGTATAATAAGTAACTCTAATTTTTATGTAGCACTATGTGAAAACAGGAATCATCAGACGTTGTTTCACCACTGCAAAAGCATCCTTCATTTCTCCCCCATCTCTCAGAGAAAACAGCCTGAAAGCACTAATGAGACGTGAAGACGTTCTATAATAGATATTCCAGAATTCCAAAATGCAGAAATGATTAAATTTTGTAACATCTTCCACTGTCCTTCCAGGGCTGGCTCCATCTCAAAGCATTCTTCAGATGGTGCTGAATAAGTAACCACCAGACATTACGTTTATTTCACTTTGCAGCTTAGCATTCTGGAGATGAAAGGGTACAGCTATAAAACCCCACACCATACATTCTTTAATAGAAGAGATGAACAGATTAGAACTCCTCCCACAGCAATGCCATTTCTCTTCAGATAGACTATGGAAAACCTATTTTCTGGTGCATCATTTCTAGGAGCATCACATGTGCAAACAGTAATTTAATTTACGTGCAACTATTTTTTGCCTTTCTTTTTTTAGAAGTTTGATTTTTATGTGGCTTCACAATAATTCACAAACTGCGTCCAATGTTTGCAAAATTAACAAGTGTCTGACATTTGCCAAACATCTGCATGGCTATTTTTGTAGATCTGGCAAGGAGACGAATTGCAACAAAATAAAAGAAACAAAATTAGCTCAGATGAAGTTAACTCCATCAGCTTCCACTCAGATCTGCCGCAGACCTCCAGAGAAAGCAAGCTTTGGGGTTGTTTGCTCTCTAACCTTTAGTTTTGGCAGCCGTTTTATGGTCTTCAGTGGTCGCAGGACCCGCAGAACCCGCAGCGACTTGATCGTGTTGATGTCCTTGCCTTTGGTTCCTCTGCAAGGTATGAAAGGCACAAGAACAACAGAGGGAACAGTTTGGTCCTCAGGACATTAGCAAACCACCCAGTGCTACCCAGGGGTGTCACGTTTTGGTGCCATCCTCCCCTTGGATGCAGAGGGCTGCAGGCGACCGCTCACTTGTGATGTGTGGAGGGAAGCTGGGGCAGCACATGGACACTGCCAGACTCAGCCTCCCGTGCTGTCCAGCACTTCCCACCTTACTTCTAAGTGTCCCCAAGGAACCAGTGGCCTTCCTACCCCAGCTCTCCTCTGGCAGCGCTCACAGCTGGGCAGCACATATGGGCTGATGCCACTGGGAGGCTCACTTCAAAAGTGAGAAGGTCACACTGGCTGCTCACCCTGCCCCAGGCAGCTTGGGAAGACAGGAGGACATTTCTGTGTGCTCCTGGTACCTTTCTATCAGGGAAGCTGCGTTGGGACCAGCAGGCAGTGATCAGTGGACACTCTTTGGTGAGAGGCAGTGCTGTGCTCAGGACCAGAGCTGCTCTGTGTGCCCACAATCCTGCCCTCAGGTCTCTTTTGGAAGACATGCTACCAAACCCATGCTGGACCATGCAATATGATGGCATATTACATGCCTGGAACAGCACCAGGGCAACTCCCCACTTATGCATGCGGGCGCTGTAAGTCAGACTATTTTTTTAGTTCTTGTGTGTGCATGACATGAGGCCATTACTCTTGTCACCACAAAGAGGAACTAGGGGGAGAAAGGAGCTACTTTTCTCGTGCACTTCCAAAATGAACGGAAAAGAATTATTTCCCTCCCCACACGGTTACATATTCTTCCAATCCAACTGCAAAACAAAACAAAACAAAAAAGGCATTCTCCTTCATTTAGTATGAAGTGAAAATGGGATGGAAATCTTTAACAGAGTTTAATTCATGACTGGAGGTTTGGGTCTGAGGCTGAGCTGGGGTAACACAGGTGGGAATGAACAACATGTTGAGCAGATGCTGATATACCTACGCTAGTCTTCAGCTTGCTAACAAAGTTTGTCTACCAGGAAAGCAATACAAACACAAACAACACCAGAGACCCCTCACAGTGTGCACAAGGAGTGAGCTGCAAAGCCTACCCACAGCCTGTTAGCAGCCAGCCTTCTGCACCGTGCTGGAGAGGCACGGAGACTGGGAAGAAATGACCTCCTTTTGTGGGAAACCGACATTTCTGAGCCCTGCCGAGCGGCTTTTTGCAATCTGGCCACTTCTAACAGACCAGAAATTCAACACCAACACTGTGTTACTCAGTACAAATACTGGGCCAGACTCTGCAGCCTAGAAACACACATTCCTGTGACACATCCAGACTCTTTTTCACAGTTATCTGTAACTGCTGCTGTCCTGAAATACAATTAGAAGTCAGACATAAGTTATTTTTGGAGGGCTATAGGTTTTGTCCTGATGATCTCTACATAGAATATAACCTGCCTCAGCACGTGATTTAGAAGGAATGGAGAGGAGGAAGAAAGGAATGGAGATTTACCTGCTCTCTCCCTCCCAGTCTCTCAGGGCTGTTTTAGGGCCATTTTAGCAGCAGCAGCAGCAGATGGAAGCTGCCTGCTCGCAGGGCTTGTGTCCATGTGGCTGTGCTAATGCTCATGGAGTTACAGGACTGATTTCATACTGCAAAAGAGCCATTACATATTTAAAAGGAATATTTTTTCAATTTGTATCAGAGACCCTTTAATCTGGTCTGCATGAAGCAGACGGACAGCATAGTTAAGCTGGTTTTCCCTTTAAGTCTGAAGATAAATGAAGACTTACTCCATGTTCAGCTTTGCATACTTGCTTTCAAATCACCAACTGCTATTGAGCAAGAAGCAGAGCAGAAGGCAGTGAAGAAGTAGGAGCTGGGGGATGCAGGAGTGAGAGAAAAGCAAAGGAGATTGGGTTGAGGGGCAGCAGGAGGAAAGAAAAAGCACATAGGAAGAGGAAGGGACACCTTGGTCCAGAAATATATTAAATCTTTGGTTGTTTGTAGCCACATTTCTGGTCTGTAAATACACTCACAGCCCAGCTTAGCAGCACCGCCTCTCGCAGGTAGCAACTGAACCTCGACAGTCCTCAACTGGCTCAAGGCTGAACCACAGCAAATTCCCATCCTGTATCTTCCCAGCATTCTTGATCCAGGAGATCTGAAATTCTATTTGCTGTGCTGCTGTTTATTTGTGTCAAATAACAATTGCAGCAGTAAGGCCTCAGGAAAGTGAAGCCTGAGATGGGAACAGAGATAATTCTTGGCTCTGGAGCCATCTCAGGTATTAAAGGGCTGGCCCCAGGCACGGAGCAATGACCTCTGTGGATTTAATACTGGGGGGATGGTTAACCCAACCTTCTGGTGACAGCAAGTCCTTCCTCTTTGCTGCATGATGGATTAAGTGGCTTTTTCCTCACCCAAGGAAGTGTGTGCAGACTGCCCTGAGAGCTGGGAAGTGAAGGGAGACAGCTCCAGCCCTAAGAAATTCCTTCTCCCTGAACGAAGAACACTAAGAAGGGTTGATTTTTATTTTTTTTTCTTTCAAACACCCAAGCAAATTAAGAGTATGAGCTGATTAAATGTTAATGGGATTTATGATCTAAGTCATACGGAGGATCCTGAAGAATCTTACTTACTTCTTGTCACTAAGAGCTTTACCATAAGAGAAAGCTTTTCTGAAGGACTGGTGCTCAGAGTCAGAGCATTGCAAACTGCATTTTGATTAAATGTAATTTGCAACTATTTCAGCCAAATAGAACCTGAAGAAATGGTTTTGCTGTGTTCAAGAGTTATCTGGACCATGATGGGTTTTTTCACTACGCCAGTACAAAAGCCACAAATCCCAAAAGAAAAGGTCCAGATGCAACTAAAATTCTGTCAAAAGGGGCATGCAAGCACACATTTGACCAGAGCAGTCACACCTACACATATGTCACCACAAAACTAAATGGGTACGGAAGGAAAACATCTGTAAAAACTACCAAATTTGTAAGAACTATGGAAGAGCAAGCAAGAGAAAGACAGACAGCAAACAGACCCAGTGACCTGTAGGGGGAGGGAAACAGGAAGGAAGAAAAGGAAGAAAAAAACAAAACCAAAACTTATGTCAGTCCTGGTTGCGTTAGCCAGTACGGTTCTCCTGGAGCAGCTACCTGGAGTCTCCAAGGCAGCATGGATGCCCCAGTGAGGAGGAAAGGAGGTCACCCTGCCCTGCCTGAGCTCAGAGCTGCCTTCTGTGTCTCAGGGAGAAGGAAGGAAGAAATGAGCAGCCGGAGTTGGGGCCTCAAAGAGCTCTCCTGGTGTGCTGCAGGGGAGCGAACCCCACTGCTGGCCCAGGGCTGTGCTGTGACTGCAGGACCCTCTGTGTCCCCTGCCGTCCCCAAGGGAAAGCTGCTCAATGCCACCAACCAAACAGCCCCTGCAGATGCCTAAGTGTCACTTTTCACATCTCCTCCTTTGAAAATCGCACCTCCTGTCCTCTCAGGATCTCTCCCACTCTTTTCAGGTCAGGCAGGGCCAGGCTGTGTCACCTAAAGCTGGAGACCTAAAGCTGCTTTAGATCCAGCACTTGCTTTCCAAGAGCAAAACCACTCCTTTTCAATTAGGAAATAACAATCTTTCTGAACTCACACATCAGCAATGCAGCCCTCATGGTGCCCTCAAGTATTTCTGATGCTGATCTACTGTAGTTGCTGACATTCTGATCAAACGCAGCACCTGTCACCTGGCTTTCTAACCTGCTTTTATCCTGTGGTTAAAGGAAACTGGAATGAATGAGAGCTGTTAAGGGTTAGACAATGTTAAGATAACTTTTCACTGAATAATGTGACAGAGGGGTCGATGCGATGGGTGTAACATGGACCATTTCCACAGTGGTGTGTGTACACACATTTGACAGGCATAACAGTGCAGCAAGATACAGGAATAACATATTACCCCATGAAACTCCTAGAGAGAGATTCCAGCAAGAAGAAGACAAAGAAAGAGCAGAGTCAATGACAAACATAAGGCTATACAGTGCACCCCATGCAACTGCAGACACGTGTTGGCAGAGAAGCCAGTCCCATCCCACTCCCATCGAGTCACTGTCGTAAAAATAAACACACAAGAAAGCAACAGAATGGCTGTGCAGCCATACCCACACATCCCCCAGAGCTTCAGCCCTTCTAGACCTGGTACTTAGAGACAGGGCTTAACGGGCAGCGTTGGTGATAGGTAGGCAGTTGGACTAGATGATCCTAGAGGCCTTTTCCAACCTTAATGATTCTGTGATTCTATAAGTAGGCAGGGCAAATGCACCTTCATCCCTCTGACACTTTGGAGGTTGTATCTTTGGCTGTTTGGCAAACATCATCTGATTTTTCAGGGAGTAGTGTGAAACTCTCTGTGTCTCAGCCACCCTTCCAGTGCCAAAAATGGAAAAATGCAATCTCTCTGCTCCTATTCATCAGCTATTTCTGTGGAACAAGTGGGCTTTACACCTAGGGCTGGTAAATTTGGATGACATATTTACTAGCTTGCTTTAAGCTCCTCTGCTTCTGTTTCCCTGAAGACTAAAACATGTCTGTGTGTTTGTGGCAAATTTATCTCCAGAAAAAGAAAAGTATTTCCCCTTGAAATGCATTGCTAAACAGAGGACATCATTATCATTATTTTTTATCATCAGTATTATTAGTCTCTCCAGCATCTCACCGGGGATCTTGCTTTCAAAAATGTTTAAACTACAGCAAAGCATCTTCAAAAGCTGCAGGCAGAAAGGCTGGTTTGAAAGACGGAGTTGAACATCATGCACCTCGCAGCAGTGACTGATGCCATCTCATATGGCTACATAAACAGTCTGTTGCAATATTCCAGACAGAGGTAGGTCTGTTTTTCCTAGGTTTTCAGAGACACATCACATCACCTTGACTGGACACCCACCGGGTCAAGAACAAATTAACTCACACCACCTGAATGGAGATCACAAACAGAAACTACTAACAGCTACATTAAGTACATTTCTCCAGCGACATCAGCGATGGGTGACAGGACTCTGGTATTTGCAAAAACCCACTAACAAAACAATGAAAATCACCCAGTTCATTCCCCAGAAGCTCATTTTCAGGATTACTAAAATTCAGCAGGGTCAGTGCATCTGTTTGGCTTAACCAAACAGCACAGTTGAGTTAAGGAGCTTGCTATCCATCCAAACTTCATCTGAACTGTCTGATACTTGTTAGTATTCATAACTGGGCAGCAGGAGCAGAGAGCGAGCCATCTCCCCATGAATGACTGGATTTCCTGCTTTCAGACGAGAGCAGAGACAGCAGAAGGGTTCTCTCAGTTCTATGTCAGCACTCTCCCTGCCAGCTGAAATATGGGCACGTAGCAGCAGTTACAATCACAATAAAAATCACAGAAGAAATTCAAATTTTTCCAAGCCTCAGAAATAGGTTTGACTCACTTTAATCTGGAAGGTAGTAAATAGGCAGACAGGTTTTATGCATTCACTTTTGTAAATCCCTGTTCAATAATTGCTCAAAGAGCATGTAAAATAGAAACAGCTTGGGGCACGCTGTTATGAAGCACAGTCAGGGGATGTACAAGTAATTTATTTAAAAGCCGATGAGGGGTTGTTAGATATTCATGGTCCAATGTGAGCAATGGGAAACCTGAGCACAAAAAGACTTGGAAGGATAAAAAAATTATTCATTCTAATGCATAACTTGTCCAAAATAAAATCTTTTTGAAGAGAAAACATTTTAGAGGCAAACCCTGATGTTTGCTCTTACGGCTCAGAAGAATTTACCCACTACCCCTTCCCCAGTCTGTCTATAATGTTTGAATTCCTAATGGAAAAAGGGAAAATCTCAGTGAAACACAGAACTGGGTATGCATGCTATGCATGCCAGTATGAGGGGTGCTCTAAAAGTAACGCCTCCTGTTTTATTACATTGTCCCACGGCGTCGTAGGCAGACGTTAGTGGTACAGCAGTAGAGGCTGAAACATCTCACCAACATTCCATTGCTTTTTGTTGCTGTGCAACTGATGGCAGCAGAGGGGCAGTCTGACAGAATGGTGTGTGACACGGAAGCGTGTATGAAGCAAAGGGGGGCAACTGAATTCCTCCATGCAGAAAAAAATGACACTGGTTGACATTCCTCAAGACTTGCGGAATGTTTACGGAGACCAAACTGCAGGTGTCAGCACAGTGAGAGGAGGATGGTGTGTTTCAGCATGGAGATGAGCCACGTTCCAGATAGCCATGCACGGCCCTCACTCCGCAAAATGAAGAACACTTGGATCAGCTCATCTGTGCGAATCAGCAGATCGAATCAGCAGGTAACTGTGTATAGAATATCAGCTCCAATGCACTGGAAATGGTGGTGACAGCGCTGGAATGTTACAAAGTCTGTGCCAGATGGGTCCCACAAATGCTCACGTAGGAACAGAAATAAGACTTTATGCAAGTTTGTCAGGTCCTATTGAACTGGTGTAAGGTTGAAGGTTGACTGTTTCCTGCATCACACGATTACCAGTGACAAGACATGATGTCATCACTACTGCAGGCAAAACTGCAATCGTGGAGCTGCAACATGAATTCAGCACTGAAGGAAAAGCTCAAGGCACAACCCTCAGAAGGTGAAGTGATGTGCGCTGTCTTTTAGGATAGGGAAGGTGTGATTCTTCAGGATTTTCTGGGATGCTGACAAACCATCACCTCTGTCCATTACATTGCAATGCTGACTAAGCTGAAGGCTCAAACTTCTAGGGTCAGGCCAAGGAAGAAGACAGCCTTCCTCTTGCAACATGATAACACCAGGCCCCATACCAGTTTGAAGACCATGCAGCACACTGTCAATCTTTGCAGGACTGTCCCACCACGTCCACTGATTTGGTGCCTTCTGACTTCCATCTGTTTGGGTTGATGAAAGATGGATCACATGGGCGTTTTCCTTGGAATGATTCCATCATAGCAACTGTGAAACAGGGCGTCACCTCTGCTGGCGCAGATTGTTCATTGACATTGCTCATTGTGGTGTAAATGTGTAGCTAATGGTGAACATGTTGAAAAACAGAGTTTCATAGCTGAGAATTTGTTATATCAAACAGTGTTATCGTGCTCTTTGTATGTGTTGCAGTTTCCATAAGAACAGGTAGGAGGCATTACTTTCAGAGCAACCTACGTACCTGTGACTAATATTATTTAACATTTCTTTCTCTCTTCAGCCTTTATATCTCAAAACAGCTTACCTTAAAACAGAGAAGTCTTTTTTTTGAGAGGAGATGAGTGATAATCAACAGTGGCAAAGTCTCTAATAAGGGATGAGATGGCAGCCCCCTCTCAACATACTGGGCAAAACTTTTTCCCAGATCAAAATAATTATGTAGCAAGGATTGGGCACAGAAAGCCCAAACCCCAGTATCTATTGAAAATACTGCTCTCAAATACCAGCTTAGGATTGAAGAATTTGTGCACATGACTTTAGGTCTACTTTTTCTGTTCTGTCTTTAATACGTTCTACTTGGTAACTGAGAAATGCTGTTCCTCAACTGGTTCACAAATCATTCCAGAAATTCCATGTCCTGTTCATCTACTGCTTGCATGAGTCCAATCACTGTAGACACTTTTTTTATCCAGCATTCACTATGAAGAACAACGATCTAAAACACAGATGTTACAGCTCTCATGCGAAGGGGATCTTGACACTTCAGAAAATGAAAACCTCCTGGGAAATATTCCAGACCAACATTACCAGAAAGATCCCAGTATCCTTTTATGCTGGTAGCAACACGTAAGCATGTCAGAGGAGCAGCAGATATGGCCATCTGCCCAAAAATTACCATCAGCCTGAAGGAAGCAAGACACGCTTCCACAGTTGCCTGACAAAGGTGAATGGGTTTTCTCATTAGCAAGTAAAACACTGCTAATTTCTTCATCTTCACTAATCATCGTGTCAACAAACAGGTGAGTGGATTTTGGACATGGGCTGCTAATCGTTCACTGTAATTATTCAAGTCTAATTTAGCAGAAAATTATACTGGCCAATTCTCAAAGCCTACTTCCTGGTCAAGCTTCAGAACTTCTCAAAAAAATTTCTGCACCGCAGTGACGCTGTGTCCCAGAAATACAGGGGGGTAAATTTCTTTCTGCCATCCAACTGTGAGCTCCCCAAATTCTGAGGAACCTGCATGGCTCTTCCTATGGTCTGTTCTGAGAAAAAAAATGTTCCAACTAAGAGCTAATCTTCATTTTATAAAAACAAATTATCTGCGTTTGTTGCATAAAACCCTTTATGACACTAAAGAAGCACACGGAACCTTATTTAATGTCATAAATAGAGGGAGCTATTAGCAGTAAAAGGAAACTCTCTGGAAATACAAATACGCTGAACGAGAGAGGAGGGCAGAAATACCAAGGTATATGAATCATAAATGTGAATCATAAGTATCCATAACTCTAGGAATAACGTTCTGTAAGAAGTTCACTGAGCTCTCAGCTCCGTTTATCAACTATTTTTTCATTGCAATGACAATTTTTAAAACGATTGCCTGAAGAGAGAAGACTGCCACAAAGCGCTGTGACGCTTGCTTGAAAAGAAGGTGGCCAGAAGGTCCCCAACATCTTGGCTCAACCTTTGAAGGAACAGCAAATAAACTCACTCCAAGGCTGGGAGCATTTTCAAGAGATCAAATGTAGATCTTTTTCCACCCAGCTGTAAGATGATGAAGAGCAAAAACCGGACGTTTTTCTGAGGAACTGATTCACAAACACTGCACCTGAGCTGGCCATGCACCATGCTCCTGCCTCGTCTGCAGTTTATTCCCTTAGAAACCTGGGTGATAAGAAAAATGTACTTACGAGAAGGCAAATGCCACCAAGGCCCCACTGACCACAATGAAGTCCAAGATGTTCCACAGGTCACGGAAATAGGAGCCAGGGTGGAGTAACAGCCCCAGGTCAATCATCTTAGGAGAAAACACATCCCAAGAATGAGTTTCAGCAAAACAAGTATCAAATTACAGTTAATGAAGCACAGAGGAACCTCGAGCAACAACCCTTCACAAACCCTTCTAGGTTTGGCACCAGCTGGGCAATGTTGAGATACTGAGTCAAGCTGTGTATCTCTATAAGCACACAAAGAGCTCTGTCACAGCCAAATTTGAAGCCAATAACTATAACCAAATGCATGCCAGAAAACCACACTAACTGTTGTATAAATTCTTTTCATAGATGCACATTAATTTATATGAACAGACATCTGTGTGTGATAATAGTTTAATTTTATACTACCTCAGTCCTACCAGCTTAGTAGGAATTAATGCTGGGAATAGGAGGATATAATGAAATACAAAGAGGGGATGAGAAGACCCACAGCCAAATGCAGCAAAGAAAACTCCCACTCTGGATCACTTGCTAAAGGATGCTGCTCACTGTGCAGCCTTACTTGCTTCTGCATGAGCCTAATTCTTCCTTAAATGCTGCTAAGGATCTTCTAACTTAAATGCTCAACGTGAAACTCGACAAACCAAGCATCAGCTGCTACAGATATTCCTGATCAGCATCAAAAGAAGATGGAAGAAGCAGACGTGTCTCAGTGAGGTTCATCAGCTGCTGAGTCCTGAGCCACGCACAGACATTTCTGCATCGTGCACCCACCTTTCTCAGCCTCTTACACAACCACAGCTACTAAAGATATCTTTATTTTCCTCTGTGAAATGTGAGACTGAAAAGAATGAGGAAGGCGGCTACAGAGAAGCATCTGTTACGTATTGGCTACTTCTGAATGCTGCTCCTGATTTAAAGCTTTTCATCACCAACACCCCCAGCAAGCTCTGCTGCACTCCACCCTCTCCCTGCAGGTTCCCAGAAATAGAAGAGTGTGAATCTGATAGGCGAGGTGAACATTTGTGTGGAAAGACTCTTACCTTGATTACCATCTCGAAGGTAAAGACACCCGTAAAAATATAATCCAAGTACTTCAGAGCCTGAATTGGAAAGAGAAGTGTACGCTGAAATGATCTGCGTGTGAGCAAAGTGTAAAAGGTCTCTTTTAGCCATGGTCTACTAGACACAGCGCTGATGGATAAATACCCTCTTCATGGAGGTTGGACACTTTGAACAGAAACTTAAATCATCCTGTTTCAGCCCTTAGTATTTTTTCCCAGTCCTTGCCAGCCCACAGAGCGCGTGCCCATGGGTTGCTTCAGTGCACCTGCATACCCAGCACGTTTAATAAGGCAAAATGGATATTACAAATCAACATATTTGAACATCCTTTCCTGAAAAGCTTGTTTGCCAGCATCTGTGTAGCGGTCTGGGTTTTTCTGCTGTAACTGATGATAACACTATTAAAGACATTGGGAGCATAAGAGAGTGATAAAACCCTTTTGTTAAAGCTCATTGCACAGTTATTAAGGATGTGGAAGAAAGATTGCTTGTAGATACTTCAGCTCATTACCTCTATAGGGATTCCTTGATCCTCGTTGGAAAAAGATGATACTGACAAGACTCAAAGGCAGGAGGCCAGCTGCATACCACAGATAACTACGTCAAAGATTCTAAAATCAGGCGACTGCATCTTGCAATTTGTGAACCCCCAGCCCTGCATGCTCACTGGTGCCCACACAGCAGGCTGTGACCACCTCTGTGCCCCTGTTCTGCTGTGGGTGTGCTGGGGGACGCCTCGCTCCCTGCTGCAATGACCAATGCTGCACTGGTTGGGGTCACACTCCCACTTCTCAGAAGATGAACCTTCTGAGTTTGGCTTCATACCCACGCATAAATAATTTCATACTGGTTCTACTCATTATGCCAAGGCAACAAGCCGCTTTCATACCACTTTTTCCTTCCTCAGATTCTGCTCCTTTGGAGATGGGAACCTGCACGCGCATAACTGCCAGGAGAAGAAACACAACTTTATTCTGGCTGCACTGGCCAGTACTCACATCGTTCCTCGGTGATTCTGCTTGGACGGGGTCTTCTGCTGCCAGGGCAATGCTGCTGAGGGCAATGACGATGAGGATGACCATCTCGAAGTAGCGCAGGTTGACGATGTAGTGGAAGAGACGCCGGATCCTGCGAACGACAGAAGCACGTGGAGGAATGCTGCAGGTGCCCCACAGCAGTAAGTACAGCACGGTGGCAGAAGGACAGCGTTCAACAACAAGGACATCTTTAGGATTCTTATCACAACAACGATAAGAAAATACAAACCAGGATTAACAGCTTTAATCTCAAGCTTGCAACAGTTCTGCGGTGAGATTTATGATAAAGCATTCAACATCTCTGTACTGCTCCTTCTGCAAAGCAGGGATGTGCATCTATTATCACAAGAGCACTATCAGAAGAAAGAAATCAAGTCTGAATGCCTGAAAGACAAATTACACGCCCTTCAAACCTATTCACTTTGAACTCACAGAAAGAAGTCCTGTGAGTTCAAAACTAGTTTCGAAATCCTTCTAATATCAAATAATCCCTTTGAAATTGACATGTTTCAGGTACTTTGAGACCCTCAGCTGAATCTGGCACTGTAACTGTGACTGTTCGTTCTCAGAAGCTCTCTTTTGCACAGCACCTCTTCCTGCACTTTATTCTAAGCCATTCCTTATACGTTGGACAAATACTTAAACATAATATATTTGATGAGTTTAATATTCTGGTTCATAAATGGTGTCCAAGAAAAGTAACAAATGCTTCATTTTCTAAGCAAAGGAAAACTATTCCCATATTTCAGCTAATTTACAAACACTTCACAGCAAATGCAGAGAACTCTACATAAATCCATTGAACAAAGGTCTTCAGTTCTGTCAAGAATCAAATCATGCATGCAACTAACCAACAACCTTGTTATGGAAGATGTAATTCAGTTACTGTATTGCATTTTCTCTAACCAAACATCCAAAGAGTCAGATTTTGCTTTTCACATCGACTTACATCTTCCTTTTCTCTGGATTACTAATGGATGCAGAATGAAAAAGAATTACAAATATCAAGGGTACAGATTTGATATGAAGCAACACGAAGGAAAATGTTGTGGTTTCCTGAACTCCTTACTCTATTCCTTGACAGTAGAGGGTTATCATCTATGTTCTCTATGAATCCATACAAACAAAAACCAACATTTTCAACGACTGCCTGTAATTGCAATTCACGTATCAAATTCAATTCATCACAGAAATAACATCTTTATTTTTAGATCTTCATCATTCATAACAAGTGATGAGAAAGCAGAAGTATGAGTAAACCTCCAGTGGTGCTGGAGGAATCACCATAATGCATGTGTGTTTGAAAAGGGTGGGTGGCACTTGGGAAGTGATGCACCTTATTAACGTTTCCCAAACGCCCTTTCTGGCAGGACCTGGGTCATGTGTACCCCATGGGGTTTGGAAGGGAGCTAGTTAGAAAGAGATGGGGTGAAAATCTTCCCAAGCCAGAAAGCAGAGAGACCTCTCCAGAGAACTAATCAGCAGCCACCACATCTAGGGGCATCCAGTTGGGTTTGCATCTTGTCCAGAAAAAGAGAAACAAATTGCTGGCGTTCCTGGAGCTGGGACTTCGTCTTGCTATTTCTTTTGGGTCCTGTGTTATAATACCTCTCTTCCAGGCAACTTTTTTTTTTTTTTTTTTTTTTTTTTAATGGTCTTTTTGTAGAACTTCTGGTGTGGAGAGCAAGAGATATAAACAAGAAAACTCAAGCACCACTGAACTCTGGAACACAAGGCTCAGGACGAGGTGAGAAAAGGCAATCGCATGCAGCAAATGACAACATTTTTCTGTTTTTTTCTTTTGTCAGCACAGTCTGCTGCTCAGCTCAGACCTTTCTTGACCTGGGGATGCCCACCTCCTGCTCTCAGGAGGTAGAGGTTGCTAACTTTAGCAACACTTTTGTAGCTAACACTCGTTTTTGGTGGTCATGTCACAACAAAAAAGACCCAAGTTCCCAAATAACAGGGAAATACTGCTTCCTTACCCAACCAGACAGGGTCCAATCTCCATAATTCAAGTCTGTCTCAGACAGCTGCATTTTCTGCTGCACTATGAGTGCACCCCAGCTAATGCTCTCCCTCCTATTAGCAGCATTTTAGACATATTCAAAGGAAATTATTTGAAATAGTACAGCATGATCGCAGCATTCGGATAAGGGAAAGCCTTCTGCACTTTCAGCTCAGTTATCCTGAAGATTTCTGAGGTTCATTGGCAGGTGGTTGGAGAAAACCAGAAAGAACAACCGTCTCTTTCACGGATCTCACACAGAAGGGGCTCTTGTCTTCAGTTCATTTCCCTCGGAGATTAGATTAGCAGCAGTTTGGGTCATTCTCCCTCTCTTACACCTGGCATTGAGAGTCTCCAGTCTTCCCCACTGATACAGCTGCACAAGCAGAGTGTATGACCCTGGAGTAGGCAGTGAATCACAGAATCATAGAATGGCCTGCGTTGCAAAGGAGCACAATGCTCATCCAGTTCCAACCCCCTTCTGTTTGCAGGTCACCAACCAGCAGCCCAGGCTGCCCAGAGCCACATCCAGCCTGGCCTTGAATGCCTGCAGGGATGGGGCATCCACAGCCTCCTTGGGCAGTGGTGTAGGCTGAATTACTTTGTGGGTACTTGCATTTAAAGGAGAGATTCAGCCTGCCAGACCACAGCTTCCACCACAGATGCATTTCTGATGTCAAAGATGAGCACATGGAGTGGTCCCTCCTTGTTCCACTGACTACACAGGCATCCAGGATGTCTCATCGGGACAGCAGAGAGTCAACCACTGTTCCCTTTAATCAGCTTGCCCTAGGAAGGGGCCAAGCCTACTTCTGGCACCTGAACATGCAGAGGACAACCTCAGAGAACAGCAACTAAGATATGCAACACGTCTACCCGGGCCAGAGAGAAGCAGTCACATCTGCTCCTGGCAGATATCTGGATTGGCAGAAGTTTCAAACACCCTCTGTTGCCCTAAGTGACTGCTTTAAGTGACTCATAGGCCTTTATGCTACAATTATTACAACCCCCGCTGCACTTGTCTAGTCCTGCAGCCCTTCAAAGCGACACATTCTCTATTTACAGCCTTTGCGTACAAAGCTCCCCGTGAGGCGGAGATGCCTGAAGCAGAAGAAATGCTGTAATCCCAGCAGATCCCACAAGCTGTACTCTCAGACTTAGAAAATGGAAATAAATAAATAAATATTCATGCATTTCCAATTCAAAGTTTTCGGTGATGTGGGAGTAATGGAATAATAGGAAAAAATACAAATTCCAGCAGACGATCCTTCAAGGATCTGCTGCCATCACAACCACCTCCTGCCTGCACCTCCTGGAAATGTCTCCTCCCAGTGCTGCCCATCGCTCTCATCACTGGCAGCCACATTTCCTGCAGTGATCTACAGCTGAACAAATAACTGCCCACAGTTAAGAAGGGTCTGCCTAAACCATCATCATTTCCCTTTACTGGCAATTGATTCTCCTAATAAAGCTGAGCTGAACAGCAGTATCTGGTTTGCAGCCTCCACGAGCTTTTATTTGATTTTCCAGTGCTTTTGATAGGCAGAGATGAAGATTGAGCTAATGATGTTTGTCTGAACACCCATCCTTGAAGTACATGTAACCCACGAGCACCATTTAAGAGCCAAGGGACTTACGGGTTCGTAGGACTTAGGATGAACATGGAACTGTAAGGCAAGATTGGTTTAGGCCCATTTTTTGTCAAGTCATCAACGTCCTTCTTCTCTTCCGCTTTACTTTCAAACTCAACGCTGTTCACTGAAACATGAATTAAAGGAAACAGAAATCAGAGTTAAAAATGCATCTCCCCTCTGCACAGAGAAGGCTGCCTGCAACAGCTGGATATGCAAACAATGCAGCTGGGATAGAAAACAGCTTTGAATACGTTGATTAAATGTGATGAACAATCATTTGATTATTATCACCGCTATTTACTACAGTACTGCAATTATATTTCTTAACCGCTGTACTGGTGAGCAATACAGCAGAAATGGGCAGGAAATGAAGATGCCCAGAGCAGACAAAGAAACCTTGCATTTATCTGTACAAGAGCTGCCAAAGTGGGGATGGAGAGCCCATCCCAAATATCATAAGCCACTATGGAGAGATCAGCTGGGGATCTTTGGAAAGAAAAAAAGGCAACGAGTCCCACCAACCTCATGATTCTGAACCTTTTCCCACAGATGAGTAGCAGGATTGGCTTTGCAGAACGTAAAAGAACAAATTCATAGATGAGCTTCAATACTATTTGTGCTAAGGGCTGGAAAGGACTTCTTGGATCAGCAGGTTACACGTCTGCATCATGCACCGCCGTTTTGGCATCGCTCCCCATGTACAAAAGTGTCATGTTCCACCTCACATCAGGCTTTTAACTTACACAACTCCATTTCAGAAGATCATTCTGAATCTCAGTCCCAAAAGGTTGGAAATACGTTCTATAATTTCCATTATAAGTTTACTTGCAGTGGGTTTGTAAGATTATTTACTTAAAATAATGTTCAATATATGAACTGGAAGACATTTCAGACTGCGAATGCTTTTCTCAGAGAGAAGAGACTCTTCTCAGACAGAGAGATTCACTTCTCTATTAATTCACAGGAGCTGGTATCCAAAACCCTCACTCACTTATCATGCCTTAGAAGAAGGGGCTTTTATTCCCTTTTATTTTGCAACAAAATGACATTTCGCTGTGTGTGAGTGACATGTTCCATCAATCCCTTGCTGTATCTCAAGCTAGATACACAGGAAATGGCCAGGAAGGAAAGAGTCTGATAAACTTTGATTGATGGGAACTCAGTATTGCAATAAGGTAAAATCACCAGTTGGGAAAAAAAAGAAGAAAAGACGACAGGTTAAGTCCCGTGTGGCTGACAATGGCAATGCACGTGGAGCCTCAGCTCTTGGGACTTCTCCATGCCATGCCTGCACAGCTTGGGATGAGCCACAAGCTGCTCAGCTTGTGTCTGGATATGGGGTCTGTCTACAAAACAGTGTAAACCCACCCCTATAGACCTATGGCTCTGGAAAAGAATAATAACAAGTGGCAGGGGGACAAAGCACTCACTGGGAATGACGGTGGTTTCTCCTGGCGGGGCAGTGATGGTGACAGGGATGTTCACAGTGGTGGTTTTGTCCAGAGGCGGCTGAATCATGCGTGTCACGTTCTTCTGGTTGTCAGCATCTTCTGGCTGCTCCGGCACTTTCTGCAGATAGGTGCTGGGAAGGGTGTGCACCGGGATGCTCACACTCCCACTGGCCTCAATCTCACACTGATTCTCCCTAAGGCAGAAGAGCGGATGTTATTAAATACGCTCTGACAAAGATTCAGAGAACATATGCTGCAGCTCCTGCTAGATTTTCCTAGACTGCTCTCTACATAGAAGTCCTTTGCAGAAAATTCACAGGCTGCAGGAAAACCTCCTGGAAGCACAAGGTGTGACCTTTTCCTCTGAGACCTGAAGCGACATCCAAATACAGCACTAAGAGAAACCATGCCAGTGAAAGCAACTTTATTCTAATTAACGAGATTCATAACCGTGTTCCCTGAGTAAGGACACATGGCACTTGCATGCAGCAGTGACATTAGCTCTCCAGCATCAGCTGCTTTCTGAATCAATTCTGACATTCTGCTGCTTAATGTTCTCCCGAGGCCTTATTTAAATGTGGTGATTCTCTTTTCCAGTCCTAAACCACTCTGTAACGTTGTCATAAATGGCTTCTGCAGCTTTTCCTCCGCAGCAGTGACTATATTTCAGTGAGCACATGATCGAATGAAACACTATGCAAAGTGTTTTGAAACCCATCTGAAAGGAAGATAATATAGACAGGAAAATGATTATCTCAGTGCCACTCACAGCTCTCCATGGTGACATGAACTCTATTCTAAGGAATCCCAATGCAATTTCTTTTCCATCAAATTAATAAAGCTGAAAAGGCAATCTGTCCTTCTTTATTAACTACTCTAAATGCCTCACCAATACTATTTTTCTCACTTGACTTACATAAAAATTAAACAGAATGGGATACATCATTATCCTTAATGGAAGAACCCATTTTGCTAGCAGCCAAGTGCTGCAGCAACTGGTGATGCAGCCCATAGGCTCAACAATGAAGAAGAGAAAACCTGGAGGACTGAATGTCTCATAAAGGTGTGTTACTCAAACATCAGTTTCCTTCAAAGGCTGTGAAATTCTCTGCTCTGTGCCATGTCCTGGTCTATCTGTTGGTACTGACACCAAGGATAACTTGTTCCTGAAACATGAAGCACTCTATGGGCAAGCATGGATGAAAACCACCTTTGTGAGCCTCTGTCTATGATGGACTGATGGTTGGACTTGATCTTATTGATCTTTTCCAACCTTAATGACTCTACGATCACAGCTGATTTACGGAAAATGGCACTGCAGATTACAGTGGTAACTGGTGCGAGTGCAGCAGGAACAGCAGGAATGCCACATGGAGGGGAAATAAGCTGATTTGAGGCAGGCATTTGGGGTCTCACGGCCCTGAGCTGGCACAGGAGCACTTCCAGTCGCACACTTACTTGGGCTGATGATTCTGGTGCTCCTTCTCAGCAGTCTCCCCTTCCTTCTCCCTGTTCTCCTTCTCCACCGAATCGTACGTCGACAACGCCCTGCTCCTGAACCGGTGCCGTCTGTGAGGCTCCTCTCCATTCTCACCCTTGGAGCCGGGCTCTCCTTCCCGGTTCCCAGACCTTGACCCTCCACGGTGCCGGGTTCTCCGCTCGCTCCTGGCCCCATTGATGGTCCCATTGCCCTCCTTGCCTTGCCGTTCTGCAGAGTGCCGGTGCGTGCGGTGCCTCCGGTGCTCCTTTTCAGTGCCTTCTTCCACTGACCCCCGGCGATGGTGCCTCTTCCCTCCTTCCTGGCCCCTGATGCGCTCACTTTTCCCTTCCTTGCTGCCCCCTTCCACTTCCTTGCTGCGACTTCTGTGCTGCCTGTGTCTCTCCTCCTTATTGTTGATGCCAGATTCCCCATTCTCATCTTTGGTCACATCACCTTTCTCTTGCTCTCCCAATTTCTCCTTATCCCGATGCCGGTGATGCTTCCGAGGAGCTTCTGCTCCATCAGTAGAGCTGACCTTGATCTGCTCCACCTCCTGCATATCCACAGGGCTCAGCTTGCTGATGTTGTTCCTCCCTTCACCCCTTGGCTCCACCACCAGTGGCCGATCCAAGTGGGTCTTCATGTCTGGACGGATGTGCAGGGTCGTGGCGTAGCGCACCCGCTCCTCAGGGTCCAGTTCATTGTACAGAGCCTCACAGCTGGCTCGGAAATTGTGCATCCGAATCTGGCTGGTTCGCTGCTCCCAAACCGACTTGGATTTGGAGGAGTTCTGCTGCTTGCTAACAAGAGGAGGAAGGAGACAAGTTAGCATTCAGCTTCTTGTATTAATTCCCTACAAAGCAAGCACCAAAAAAAAAAAAGAAAAAGAAAAAAGAAATTTCAGCTGATATGGGGGATCAGACAGTTAAGCCAAAGAAATTATAGGAATGGAGAGAGAACATGAGCAGGGAAAGCCAGCGGGATCATCAGCGTTAGTTTGTCCCCACACGCGTCAGACACTTTGAAACAGGCCCTGAGGAAAGGAGTTCTCTTGGTTTCTAAAAGGTGATGATCCCCCTTGAAAGCCTCAGGCATAATCTGAAGGATTATAAATCCTGCCCACCAAAATTGTACAGCACAACTGCAGTTGTGAAGCAGCTCACAGGGCTTCTCCCAAAATCCCTGCACCTTTCTGACCCCAGGGACTGGGAGAGCCACACGTAGATGCAGACATGATGAGAACACTTTTATTCCCTGGAGCACTTGCTCCTTTCTGTCCTGTTCTCTGCTACAACCGGAATACCGCTGCTGACACTGCCTTACTTCTTTGATTTTCCAGCACAGCACCTGGTTTCTGTCCACCCCATGTGAATGTCACATTCTCAGCCAATGCAGGAAGAGAAGATTCGCCTTTCATCCTAAACACTGCAAATCACGTTCTGCTTTCCCATAAAATCAAAGTAAATCCACTAGCTTCCATGGAGGAATTCCAGATCTAGCTTGAAGTTGGCACCTTTTTCCTTCTAAACGAAACAACTTTTAACACAGAGAGGAAAAAACATTTCCCTTCCACCACGCTGCTCTCCACCATGCTGATGTTTCCATTTGCTACACATCAGCCTGGGTTCAGTGGCCAGAGGGGCTGCACAGTGCTCACGAACCCCAACCACTTAACACACACCCCACAAGGCTGCAGAAATAGGGCAGCAGACATCCTTATATACACTCCGGGCTCCCCTGACAATAGCAGAAAGCAGATTTTGTGCGTGTCTGTGCTGATTCAGAGTGTCAGGATCTGTCGCCACGCTCAGCCCCCGGGGAGGCAGCGTTCAGATGGGCTCACAGAGCACAGTGGGAGCTGTCAGAACGGCTTTGCGTCTCAAATGCTCCGCTGGGTTTGGGGTTTGGTTCTTCACTGTGGGTGCTGCTGCCTGGCTCTGCTAAAAGAGGCAAAAAAACACGACTTAAACGTTCGCTACAGATGGGAGGAGGGCACGCAGGCAGATGCGAAGCAATCTTAATCCAGAAATCAGGGTGAGCACAGCTTATCACCAAAACTACAAATCTAAGCCTCGCTGTTCCCAGAGGGCACATCCAGGGCAAGTTTCCCACCAGCTGAGTACCCGATTGACACCACAACAGTAGAATGAGTGGCAAAAACCACGGCTCTAAGTGTCAATGCAGGGCACATAGCTCAGATCCCAACTGAATCCCACGTATCACGCAGAGGGCTCATGGGACTCAGCACCCCAGGCTGCCCTACTGACCCCTGGTGCATGAGGTGGACAGCTGGCAGCAACCCAGTAATTCATTAGGGTTCAGTGCTGGGAAAGGTTCAGCTACTATCACCCATCTACTTGGTTTCAGAGGGAATTAGTAAAGCCTCCTCTGACCCCTTCCCTGCTGCTCCATAGAGTATTTCCTATGGGAAGACATGTGCTCCACACTTGCAGCCTTGCACCATCAGAGATGGAGCTGCTTGGCACAGTTGTCCCTGCACATCTTCTGGGATGGATGGGTGAACGGATGGATGTCTTGCTCTGCAGTGCTGCAGATACAGCATTGCCAAACTATGAGCAATGAAAGTAAACCTCCTCACTCCAGGACAGCACACAGGGAAACAAGGCAGCTTGGCTCTATGCACATGCATGTCTGAGCTCTGCAGCACTGTTCTGAGGGCGCATTTCTCACTTCATAATGAAAGTCCTCAGGGTGAGGACCAGCTTCTGCTTAGTGCTTTGAAAATCCAGAGAAAGCTGCCAACACCAAAGGGATAAATAGGAAAAACACGTTAGAGTTGGTAAAGTGCCTTTATGCTGGCTGAGGTCCTCCATCTCCCTCTAAATGGAGCACAGCACAGCCTCCTGCTCCACAGGTGGGCACCATGCTGGGGTGGGATGCAGAATTACATATTCACAGAGGATTTCAGAACCCTCCCATGAAGGTTGGGGCCATTTACCTCCGATTGGAGGAATGGGCTGCTGTGACAAAGAGTCTTGCTTCAGGAGGGGCCTTTTCATTGTTTCACTTACTCCAAGAACAGAAATCAGCCTCACAACTACCTCTGTGGTACTAAGGGTCCAGTTGTGCTTGACTTGGTGAGCTGGGTGCACACACCAATAAGAACCTGGAATCCAGCAAGGCACATATTAACTAAGCCTATTTTACTAAAATTTCTTCTTTACAACAGAGACCAGCGTCACAGACTCAAATTTCACAGCACCTAGCAGTGAGATACACCTTTAGCATTGACCCAATAGTGGCAGTGATTGCCAACTGACAGCACCATGCAGCCACCCGCTGGCATTGGTCGCTAAGTCCCAGACCGGGAGGCTCAGAATGGCTGCATCCTTTCTCTTTTCCACATGAAAACTCACCAGAAAAAAAAAGAAAAAAAAAATCAGAACATTTATAAAGTGCAGTAAAATAGAAATCAGGAAAACGCGCAGCCTGCCTGTAAGCTCATTACTGCATTCAACCCAGTCGAGAACATCTGGAGCAAGTGACAGCATGCATAAAGCTGCTGCAGGAAATGGGAGCGAAGGAACCGAGCAGGTCGGTCCCTCTGGGGACAGCATTTAGGGTTTTTCAGAGCGAAAGCAGCAGCAACTGGAGGGAACGTGCTGCCTGCTTGTCCAATTCTATTTATCGGGCTTTTGCTTCCTCTATGTTCCCACAGCAACTGAGCACAGCCATGTGCGACCGCTTCTCCTCTCCTGTTGCTCTGCTGCACTTCCTCTCCAAGGAGAGCTTTTGAACTTTCTGTGGCATGGCAGGAATGTCACCTTACAACACAGCAGTCCCCTACGGCCTCCTGTGCACACACATCTGCACAGAGATGGAAAAACCAAGCGGGGGCAAAAAGCAGATTGCACTGAGCACCTCCGATGCACTGACGCGACACAAAGGTCAATGCTAATGCACTTTCTCTACAATCACTCCTCATTCTTATTTTCTGTCTACAGAATGTGCTGTGCTCCTTAATGGGGGACCAGCAACACACTCAGTGTTCAAGTCCTCCAGGCTCAAAACACCGTAGGTTGTTATTTCTGCTAACATGCTTCTCTGCAAAGTCCCATCAGTGTCCCTTGGATTAAGCAGCCAGCAGACAAGCAAATCCTATAGCTAGAAAGAAAACCATCACATTTTTGTATAATAAATATAATTGATATTAATGAACTGTTGACTAATATGGGTTCAAATAAAAAAGCTGCCAGCCACTGTACAGACCACTCAGGAAAGGAAAGCATACTTTTAGCCACCTTCTAATCTTAGCCATTCCATAATGACCAAAGATTTTGTTGTCGTAACCTTTTAAAACAGTGCTGCAGTTAATGGCACTTTGCATCCCAGCACTGCTGGCTTAATCAGCCACCGAAATGCAATCCTCACAATTTTGCTGTAGTAAATAATGAATGAAATCTGACTGCAAACATAATAATTTGATGTTAAAAATACCCAGGTATTAGATTGTGGGTAGGAAAGAGTATGTTCTGATTACAAGTGGGAGGGAATTTCTTGTTAAAATAGAGTATCAATAGAAAATGGGATATAAAAAAACCTTTCAAGAACAGCAATAACAAAAATAAATCTGATTTTCTGTGCATCCATTTGGAGCAGCATTCTCCATGTTTGAATTTTCCACTCAGAAAATACAAAGGCAGCACATCGGTCCAGGGTGGGCACGCACAAAGCTTTATCTCTGCTCTGATAAAACAATTTTCTTCCAGATGAGCTCACTGCTGGCTCTTCACTGTGCTTTGCCCATGACCCGGGAGCTGCAGCCTGGATGCTTTAGCACTTTTTCTTCTTTATGAGCCACATTTCCCTGCCTGGGCTCTCCTGGGAGATGCACTGTGCTCTCACTGAGTGCGTGTGACGGTGCACATCACAGAAACACCATTATCAAGGACAGCAATGGGAAATGCTGCCCACTCCCTTCCAATATTCCTCTTGAATTTGATTTTGGCTTTATATATTAGATTTATATATATATATATATAATTTTCTCAGAAGGAAAATATGTTTTTTTCACAATTTTCCTCCTAATGTCCTTTGGCCTGAAACTCTAAATTTTGCATGTGGCCTGAGCAAAAGTTTGGAAAGCTCTCATGCTTCACTGCTGCTCCCAGGAGGTGTCCATGGGCATGATTTCCTACAAGAAGCAGAAGCCAGTATATGCTGCTGCTCGGTATACAAAGACTGCCATCATCACCAGCTTTCATACAGCTCTGCAGGGATGCAAGGTCCATCCATGCCAAAGTGTTCTGGAATTCACACAGCAGAAGTTTTGCTGCTTTTACTAAGGAAGACAGAATGATTTCACTCCACCATAGCTCACCAACCTGCATGCTGCTTCCTATCTCTCTAATAGGAAAAGCTTTTAAATATCTGTATATGTATTTAAGTACATCGCATAATAATTCCAGTATCAAAATAAGACTTAGCTTTCTACAAACTCTGATTTGATGACAAGCTAACCCACTGTGAGGTGATTTTACTACAAGCACAACTATGTTTAATCTATAGACAGACATTAAGTTCTCCAAAAATTCAGTCTTGGAACGTTTGTTTATTTTTTAATCATGATTACTACTTTATTTCACCTTGGCCTCTGGCATGTGCACATTTCCTTCTCTAGAGGACATTCTGACAGCTGTTCCATAATCACAGAACCACGGAAAGATCATTCAGATCACACAGTCCAACCACTGCCCCATGCCTGTGACTGCTCTGACCGTGCCACCCAATGCAGCATCTCACCTTTACTCAACACCTCAGGGATGGTGATTCCCCTCCT